AAAAAGCTTTTCACTTTTATGGCAACTTGAAATCAATTCTTCAAATTGAGCGGCACAATGATAATGCTGACTTTTTATACAAAGACACATCATTTTACCATATCAGTGATTAGAGTCAAGAGTATCTCTGGCAACATCCCTCTTAAACGATATCGTAAACGAGATAATAGGCTAAGCGCCTATTATAAGCATCGGGAAAGCGTCCTTTCAAGGTTACGACAGATCTTCAAAACACGCAAAATGCATATACTTTGATAGAAGCTCGATGAAAAGAAACTGTGTGTATTGTGCTCACACTTAAATAATCATAAAATAAAGGAGAATATTGGAGAACTTTTTTTAAGTTTAAGTCCCAAGAAAAGAAAACATTATTGTCATCACTACCAGATAAATCTGCTCACAGCGTAAATAATGGATAGTTTGTGCCCACAGCTTACAATCTGTCAGCCCAACAAATCCACATACAGTATTAAATAATAAAACAAGTTCAAACCCCCAAAGACATAAATGGAGAATGGAATATAGGGACCTTTCTATATTTAAAAAAGGCTGTGGGAAGACAACAACTCAACCAACTTCATCTGCTGGAGGAATGATGACATCTTGTTGATTCAAGGCCAAGCAGTGTGATGATTGGAGAGCAAAAGAGTTAGCATTTAATACTTTACAAACCTCAGAATCCCTTTTTAAGGTCATGAGCACTGAACTTAAAACTGTAGGTGATCTCATTTGGATTTGGCTTTAAAGCTGCTAGACGCATCAGTCATGTCAAGACAAACGTCATTATTAAAAACTGTGCGTTGAGAGATAGAGGCTGCAGTAAAATGAAATAAATCCTTAAATAAAATGGTATGGTCCTGTTTGGACAAGACCAAAAAGGACTCTGTTTAAAACAACAACAAAAAGATAACTGCCACTGAGCGAGCCTCTGTGCGGGTTGGGCATGTGCCTCTTCCTCCCTGGCGTGACCTGAATTTGCATCAGCTCCGCCCTCAGGTGGAAAACACGCTATGTTTAATGTATGAAAGTACTACCTAATTATTGGATCACAAACATCCATTAAATGACTCACCGCAGCGGGTGGCAGCATTTGAAGGTTCACCAATGGCCATCATATTTATTTCCACAATATTATCGTAGCAAATTCATCAAATAATAGATAACCAATATCAAAATATGTAGCACTTGTAATTCAGTTCTTCATTTTATACACACAATTCAAATGATCAGGTAGTTTATAGAATTAATTGAACTAAAGAACTCCACAGAAAAGAATAAACGGTAAAAAAATAACAATCAAATAATCAATTAAAAATATAATAAATAATATAATGACAAATGATAAACCACAAATGAATGCAAAGGATTGGATGTGACCAGAGAGAGCTTTACTCTCACATGTAGATATAAAATCTCTACAGAGAATTGCTTCAGCCACATTGTAGTCTGTGCCAGCAGGTGCTGCAGATGTTCTCCGTGGGTATTTTTTCTAATAGTGGGAGAAAGTTTCAGGAAAAAACATTTCTAAATGTGCGATTTTCCAAACTGTTTTGTGAATGGCAAAACCAAGAACAAAACAATCCCACAAGCGAACCCAAACACTAAAATATATCAATTCTATTCCAAAAGAACGAAAATCAGAACAGCTAGCCTCAAGATGCTTTAACCATTCGTTGAGTTAGCGGATATTCATGGGAACTGTAGTTTTTTCTACTGTGCTCACAAAGTAAAGAATAGAAAACAAAAATGAATGAGATGTATTATTCAACCTGTAGCTAAATCGCTAAATGTTCATAGCGCCCCGAAAAGCCATCTTGAGGGTCCTGGTTTACTTTGAAGTTTTCACCATCATCCAGTTCCCCTTTTCTTTTCAGATTGTCTTTTGATTGGAACATCTTTCTTTCCTGAGTATCTAAGAGCAACTAGTTTTTTATTCTGCTTCCGTCTGTTGTAGTGAGCATGATGGATTTTTCCCCTGCTGTTTCCTATTTTCTCATCCCTGAAATTGCTTAACAATTTTCCCCTTCCATGAACTCATCTACATACTGTGTTTCCCATTTGATGCCTTATCTGGCCTGAGATTCAATTATCCTCAAAAGGTTTGTCTCAAAAGCCCGAAAAGTGATGTGTGCTGAATGAAGGTGAAGATGATGGTGGTAGAATGTGACTAATATCTTTGTATTAAATCATGTCATGTACTTTCATGAATGAATAACGTCTAAATCAAAAGGTAGAAAAATGTACTAAAATCCTTTTTGTACGTGTATCTTGTGTCCTTATATATTTTACAATATCTTGCAAAATGCTTCATATTGATTCACTCAAGTGTCCAATCACATGTTTATGTTTGTGTTCATTTTGGGGGATCAGCTCTCTCGGGAGTATTCTTCGCTGCTTTGGATTTATGGAGAGCTCTCCTAATTAAGAACTAACCCGCCACCTTTCATGTGGCTGTCCATTAAGGGCTAATAACCCTCTGCGTATTATACTGACATAGGATACTGAATGCTCCTACTGTGCAGCTAGGCCTGCTGACATGGACCAGAATGCATTGCTTGCGAGTGGGGATTTCGCTGATCATTTAACGAAAGAAACTTCAGATCAATAAATGGAAATATTCTTGCACATAATCGAAAATTTCTCTTACACTGGTTTAATAATTAATGTTACAATAATCTCACCAAGCACATTTCCATTGTTCCAAATATGAGCCATCTTTGTTTGGTTGAAATAAATGCTTTAAATATAGAGAGTAAATTATGAAAATATGCCAGATCTAATGGCCGTATTCCTCTGCCATGTCGGTTGCCCTGGCAACCAAGTGCTGGCAACCAAGAGTCCTGGAGACACCGGGAACATCAGTGACATATGAAGGTTTTTATTTACAGTAAATACTGTAAATAAATACTGTAGGGCTGTCAATAGAATAAAAGAAAAATATTAATTAATCGCACATTTTTAAATTAATTTATCTCAATTAATGAATGTTGTTGTAGTTACAATGTTGTTTAAAATGAATGTTTGTTTTTCTTCTGAAGACTAAATCTTAAAAGTTACTGTGTATTTTAGACACGGTTGTTTAATTGTTAAAGTTATTTTAAACACAAACCTACACACATTTGATCATCTTGGGGACAAAATTCCACCTGGTGTAACATGTTGAACTCGCGACGCTTCCTGCTGTCCTTGTGCGCTCAACTCTCCATAATTCAACGGCTGTGTTTGAAGTCGTAACAATCTCCCCACATTTAGCCAGGACGTTTTCAAACCACGGTCTTTTAGGGACACAGTGGGGGTCCTCTGAAGACTGTGCGTAGGGTAACGTTAGATGTTGAAATGGAAGTAGTCTAGCAGCTAGCTTAGCCTAGCAGCTAGCTTAACATAGCAGTGCTTTAGGTGCTTTCACTCACCCCTCTTCTGTTTGACACATGGAGTAATTCCTCTGCACAGTTCTCTGCTGTATGTCGCACCGCTGTTTGTTTTACTTCCAATGAAAAAAGCTCTCTCCATCTTGATGTAACTGACTGCAGCTAGCGGCCGTTTCGCTTCCGCGGCAACTTCCGGTTTATTTCCGGTCCCGGAAGTAGACAAACGAACGTTAACTACGTTAAAATATTTTGTTGCATTAATCTAGACCACATTAATCGCAAAAATAGTGCGTTAATGTTGACCGCCCTAGTAAATACAAAACTTAGATGGGATTTTTTTATTTAAAGAGAGCTCCCTCACGGGCGATACGGTTTGGACGCCACTGTATTGCGTTGTCATTCAATGTCATTTAATGCACCAGACTGTATTTAGCACCACCAAATATTTACCTCAATTCATCTAACTTCCATAACAGTTGTGGCTGAAAATCGAATGGCATCAATCAATTTCTTATTGTTGTAGTTTTCTGGAAATGCGTTTAAAAGTTATGCAAAATCTTTTTGAGATGAAGAAATAACCCAACCTGCGCACAAATACAAAATGGACTAATTTCAAGTCCATTTTACAAACCCTTTGCTGACTGAAGGAGTATTCTTTTCCTGTTACATGTTTCAGAATATTGCACATTTACATTCTCGATATTTCAATTGAATGTTTCATATCTCCAACTTAGAAGGTGTTGTCACCCCTTATCTCACCATGAGATTCCTTTTGCCCTCAATCGGTGACCCTGATTGACAGCAAATGGAATCTCCCGGTAATGATGATCATGTGATCCCACTGCAGGTTTAACAGCTGAGTTGGGATTGTTTTGCGTGTGCGCCTCAGGGCAGAATCAGACTAAATTAAAATGTATAGAAACAGCCTACCTGAAATCTCAAGCACGTCTCTAATTTGCTTCTTGCCTTTTTAAGCGCTCGGTAACACAAACGAAGCGCTTAAATGTTTCGGTCTAATTGAAAACAATTACCAAAACACATCCCCTGCTGGTGGAATGTGCTGTGTCTTAGCAATTCTTATTTGCATGACTGCGTGTTTGTTTGTGATTGTGGGTGCACTGCGTTTTGTTCTCCAATGCTGGGCTGCAAGATAACGCCAAACCGCAGAGGAGGAGGAGGAGGAGGAGTATCTCTTTGAATTGAAGAAGAACAAGACAAAGAAGAGTAGGGGAGAAGGAGCAGGCGTATTTTACTTGCGGCATAACCTGCAGCAGCCGACGAAGCATAGAATTATTTTAGATATCACAACAAGTCTGGACACAATGAGTCAAACAGCAAGCGCACAATAAACCTTTTTCCCACACCCATTATGATGGAGAATCTCTATTTCTGAGCAATACTAATTAGACATGGGGGACAAAAGCGATGCACACATTGTGGTGTCAAATGAGGTATATCCAGCTATGGCTTTGTTTGGAGCTCAGACACGGCTGCACAAATACATCCGTGGGCGAGCATTTGATTTCCAGGTGTAGGTCCAAGAACATTTTAGGTGTATTGATCCAGCTGATAATAGCTTACAATTACAAGCACATCCTTACTAGGTGAAGTCATGACAGTACACTTACTGGGTCAACGTCAATGCATCACACCTGGACTTTATTACGTTGAAGCTTTAATGCACTCACAAACCATATTTACATAAGACGTCTTTATTGTTAAAGCATTTAAGCGTGAAGCCTAGCGCACTGAAAAAATGATTATTTTCCAGACTTGAATTGCGCTGGCTAAACAAGAAATGTATAGTGAGGCTGCTTTGCTGTAATTTTGAGTCACTCAAGCCTAACAACCATCCACACACACAATTATTTTAAAGACCGGCATTAATTTTGACATGCTGCTATGTACGTCATGAGCCTATTAAACAAATTACTTTTTAAAAAAATCAAGTTTCACATCGGCTCACATTTAAAATCATCTATGGGCCTACACTCAAATGTTTAGGGTTAAGCCCTGACAAATGAACTGGCGACACCGATGCCTGTAACCATAGTAACCCCATTCTGCCTGAGTGGCACAGCGAGGATGAGAGAGGATGAGAGAGGAAGGGAGAGACGCTCTGCGGCTGCAAGAGCTGATTGACTTTAAAAAGTCATAGAGGGTCTACAAATGTGCTGAAATTGATTCACGTACCATGTCCTCTGCTGCAGCCAGCAAGACATAAAGCCTCATAAAGATATCCAGACAATTTTGAATATGATCCTGCATCTTGCTTGGACTGAATAATGACCGCACGTGACATACAGCATCTCTGTAAAACATTGGACTGCTTATTATACGGCACAGACATATTGATTAAAATGCTTTTATAACAAATGTGTTAATGGGGAGTAGAGTCAACGGATGAGAAAGGTATCTATCGCCTGAATTTATGCCATTTTATATCAGAAGACTTTTTTGTGCCACTCCCCTGTCTTTTCAGTGGTTACAGTGAGGATTTTTAACAAATTCAAATTTCAGATATCCGTTGACAGGCAAATCTATGACTCCATTAGCCAACAACATCCTGGCTAACTACAGCAAACATACCTTGTGCTGTTGCCTCATTCTAGCAACGAACAACTCAAATGAATGTCCTAATATCAACAGTACACACGGTTTTACACACACACACACACACAGCATTCCTGCTGTGCATAAGGGGATATAGACTGTATTTCAAGGGACCCATAGAAACCATTAACATTGGTTTTGAAGTCAGTCTGAAAAATACTGTTGAAAGGCCACAAAACAATATTTCAGTTCATGTTTTATAACACATAAAATGGTATTTTTCTGTGTGTGGCAATACATTTTTTGAGGTAAATTGTAAAAAAACATCTGTCACCAACAAGCAGGAATGCCAAAGTGTAAGCATTTACGTGATTTAGCATCACCAAAACCAAGAGGTGGGTAGGGTGGAAAAGCACATACACAACAAGACATAATTGAAAAGACTCCTTAAATTTCTTTCCAGGCTTCTGCTGGGGCAGGAGACACACATTTACAATAAATCTCCTATTTTTCCACTGCATTTGATAGATTAACAAACATGCATGCACCTACGGAACTTAAAGCAGCCTTAATGTAGCCCTTCACAGTCAGCAGAACAGTTGATACAACAATAAATCTGGATTCTAATGCAAAATGCTTTTCTTAAAGGAACTGTTCATATTAAGTTCAACTTACAATTATATTTACATCACATGGGGCTCTTGCTCCTGACAGAACAAGATGTAAACATGAATGGTGTCCAGCTGAGTAGGAGAACAGTATCAAGAAGCTACAAACTGTAAAAGTGAAACTGCTCACAAGGTTGGTGGATCATTTTGAGTACCCAGGTCATGATATCTGGAGAGTTAAATTGCTGTCTAGTTTCTATTTGGCACTTGAAACGCCACAAGCCGAGTGTCTTCTAGTTCCAATAGATTGGAAAGAAAGCCAACGCAACTTCAGCAAATATCAGACACTTAGCAGATCACACCAAAATAAATCTAGACTGCAGTTACCTGTAGTGCTACTTATCAATCGTGTGTAATTGTGTCGGTCTCGCAGGTGCTTTGGAACAAGTCGAGAAAATGACATAAAAATTGTTCAATTTCAGTAACACCTTGGGAAGAAGAAAGGCTCATCATGTTGACACATTCAAGGAGATGAGTTTTCTTCTGCAGCAATCATGCGTATAACTTTTATTGTAAACGAATGAACAGCATTTATCTAACCCCACATGTCAAGTGTTCATGTGTACCGTTTACTTAGGGTGATTAATCACTTTCTTAAGTGGTTCTCAATGCCAAAGCAGGACATGTAAGGCTCTCCCTCAAAGTGGGAAATGAACACCTTCAGTCAGAGGGATTGTGAAACTAGCTACTATCTATCTAGATCGGTTTTGCTTGTTGAATAAGTTGCATTTGATCTTTTGGCACCTCATAGTATAAACAGACGTATTAAACATGTCAGGTCCCCTATTTCTATCAAACTATAATCAACATAGATGATTTCCATGTTTTGGCATGAATGGAAAATCATTTTAATCATCTGAAAGTGTCTTCATTAAAAAAAGGAAATTATTATATGAACATAGCGAACATAACATTTGTCGTTGTCCTTGAGGTCATGGTTCTGCAGCAAAAATGACTCCAGATGTGTATTCAGTCGGTTGCAATCTGCAACACAACCACGGGGTGCCACTAAATCTTTGCCTTTTCATGCTTTGGCGATGGACGAAGGCTACAGGGTTTCGTCCTCGTCCTCAGCTGTCGCACTCGTACTGACAACAGGTGCATTTTCTTTCAGCGAGATATCGTCCACCTGCTTGGGGCCGCCGTCCTCGGGTTCCTCAGGTATGGACGGGTCCGAGCTACTGATCACATATCCTGGCAGGGTGCTGACCACGGGAGGGCCCGCGTTCCGACAAGCGCGGCTTGAAGCAATGTTGGTAGAGCGCGTGGAAGGGCCCGCCCCCGCCAGGTGGGACTGGCTGCTGGTGCTGTTGTTGTTGATCCCGACGACAACGGAGCCGTAACGGTAGCGGCCGCAAACCACCGGACCCTCCCACTCAAAGGCCAAGTTCCAACGTGTCCATGTTTTCTTTATCTCTGTCTGGACCTGTGGGGATGGGAAGAACAACGGATATAAGTTTAATTATACTGAAAAATGATCTTGATTGGATCCAGGCTAATTATTTAAGTTTTCAAAACATTTTTATAATTCATTTTTTTACAGTGAACGTCCGTAGACTGTCATTCAACCCCCTTTTGGGAATATTTTTGAAACAACCCAACAATTGTCACCAGGAAATGAAGAGCAACAAACATATCACGAAGGAGTCCTTTTTTTGTCATGTGACTAATGTGACTAAAATCCGACAAATTCCACGCTGTAGGGCTAATAACAGAATTGTGTTATTGTATCTTATCTAGCATCTTCATCTCTACCACTTAAAGCTACTAAAAGGAACTGTTACTGGTTATAAAACAGTTTCAATTAAAGTAATGGGTGAGTACCCTTCCACTTATTCATTTTTTAATTTTAAAAACAAAATAATGCTTAGATCTATATCCAGATGAAAATAAAAATGTGTTTAATTCATATTCATTCAAATTGCAGTAACTCCTGATGAATTCTACATGTAAAATAAGTGGTGCAAATGATAGAATGTGGAGAACAAAAGGCGTGCAAGAAAGAACAGAGAGGGTTTTGTGAAAATAATACTGGCAGAAATGTCTGTTCTTGTTGCCAATTAAGTGTCTTGAGTACAAAGCGTAAAAGAGAGAGGAAGAGAGTGACACTGGTGTAATGTCAGCTCTTATCACATTCCATTTGAGAAGGCAAAATGGAAAGTAACAGACCCTTGATTAGATTAGGTATGACACTGTATTTAACCTGTTTTTAGTGGCTTTGATTAATTCAAAATCAAACTACGGCTCATTTTTAGTGGTTGGCATTCTTTTTTGTTTTCGCTTTTGTTTGTGCTTCTTCTGAGCAATCACTAGCATTTGGAAAAACAATCTACTCACCTCTCCGTTGCAGAAGCAATAGATAATGGACACAAAGAAGCCCTGAAAGGAAGAGATTGACACACAATTTGTGAGCTTGAATCTCTTGGAGCAAGTGAGAACAAAAACGTCTGCAGTGCAATGATCACAGTCACGGATTAAATGTCATTCTTACAGACACAATCTCTGTCATCAAAATAATGGTGTTCCAGGTCATCCATCTCTATGTCTAAACTAGTGCTTATCTTATGAAAAAAAAGAAAGTAAGACAGAAATGGTAATCTCTCCGGGTTCTGCGGCTCCTGTTTCACCTCTTGTCCCTGCCTACCGCTATGATAAGAAGTTAAAGGAGGGACACGGCGTCTTTGTGAAATGTTGGCTTACGCGAAGATGTCAAGGTGTTGGTGTCCATGTGTGCTTTTGTACATGTGTGTCTGTGAGTGGCAGACATCCAGTCCTCATTTAAAACAGTTTGAGAGAGGTTCTGGTACAGATTCAAATACGAAACCCAGTGTTCATATTGAATAAACTAGTTTCACTTATCTATCACCTCAAAGGAATCAAAGGAGTGTTAGTCAGAGCATCTTTTGCACAAATGCGAGTGCTATGCATATGTTTGATAAAAGATCTTAGATAAATATCCATTATGTGACTCACACAGAGTAGTGTTTTACTCTGTATTTGCTTTGATTTTCAGCACTATCCTTACAAACGTTATGTCTTTTAGTTACCCTGTCGTCTGCCATTATAAAGACGACTGGGTTTCATCATATTTGTGGTTCTTCTCCTTCAGGCTTTTTTCTAATTGCAAACATTTGCAAGAGCAACAGCCTGCCAAAGTTAAGCTTCAAACAGGTTACGCTATTTAGGTTCAGAAAATGTGGATGACTTAACAAAGTACTTGTATAGTTTTGATTCACTGTAAAGGTGGAAGGTATGGAAATCTGAATGACTTTGGAAATTAATGGAAAATTCTAGCTGAAGCTGAAATTCCTTCATTTTGGTTAAGTTTGAGCTGTTTTAGAAACCTGGGGTCTTTGGTTTAAGTTAAATGTAGTGGAGAGACCAACTGTATGGAATATTACAATGTTAATAAAGACATAAGCTTTATTATTATTATTATTATTATTTTTAAGTTTATGATCTGTGACATAATCTTCTATCTGGAAAAAAAACCCAAATCAAAGCATAGAAAGGTGAATTTAATTCTAATTAAAAATAGTTATCGCCTACTTTTATTAGAAAAGACACGTGCATATGGTTTTCTTATATTTTTAAAATAATGTGATTTGGGTCAAAATAACTGAGAAAGATACTTCAATACTCCTATCAACCAAGGGTGAAACTCATACTGAGGTGGACACATTTAGCTTTGTCACTTTCATACATAGCAAAATAAGATTTATGTATTTTAAGTTTTGTCCAGTTCAGTCGACTAAATGCATTTGTAGCAAGATTTTAGCATCAATTATGTACGCTGTAAGGAATTAGCTGCACATGATTACACATCGCTCACACATTTTGGGTACCTTCATCAATGAAACAACCTATGATCATCTAACAACAAAGGCACATTTTTGCAGATGGTGCATTACTCCAAACTGGAATCCCCGATTTACAGTCATCTCATTGTCTATAAAAGTACATTGAATGAGTTATTTTTCCCATGGTCCATTATCCAGCAATAGTCATCACATTTTCCCTCAAAGATAACTAGAGCTTAAAGTGGATACAAAAATAGTACTGTGTCTTGGGTTTGGGATTCCATCCCAAAGAAATCTGTTTTAGTGAGTGCAGATAAGACTGCTGCAAGTTGTGAGATGTGTCATTGTGTAAAAAAGAGTAAGCCAAAGAGTTAATAGCATGAGTGCCAGTCCACTTTCAGCACTGAAGATAACCGGATTAAACAGGCTCTAATCCGCGATTTCTTTTCAGTCCACTATTTTATAAACATTAAACTGCAAGAGCTGGTTACTGTTACTGTATATGCAGTGATATGTTTGGGAAAAGACTCTAAAAGTGACCAAAAACAGAAGTCCCCAGATGGTTGAATGATCTTTATAGTCCTCTGTCAGTAATGAAAGAAAGTCTGTGTGTGTGTGTGTGTGTGTGTGTGTGTGTGTGTGTGTGTGTGTGTGTGTGTGTGTGTGTGTGTGTGTGTGTGTGTGTGTGTGTGTGTGTGTGTGTGTGTGTGTGTGTGTGTGTGTGTGTGTGTGTGTGTGTGTGTGTGTGTGTGTGTGTGATAGAGAGGAATAGAGTAACTATGCTGAGTGGTTGTTTACCCATTATTGAGTAAGCCACTGCAGTAAAAAAGACTGCACTGCTCTATCTGATCTGTGAATGTGAGGATCAACCTTGAGCTTGTTTATGTCTGTGCGAGTGTCTTCTGTAAAAAGGCATATTGAATAATGTTTGAGCGTATATTTTCACATATTATATCAGTGTGAAAATGGCTAAAAAGCTCTGCCTACCTGAAAGGAATTGAAGAACAGCTCACAGTACATGCGGACTTCCCAGCTAGATCCTTCCATTGTATGAGGCATCCCGACAAAGAGGATGTAGTGTATGCCAAACACCAGCACTAACACCAGGGTGGACTTTGCCAGTTTCCTATGGAGACACATACAGTGCGTGAATAAGAATGCAAACCACAGCCTGGCTGCTTTAGGATATTTTATTAAATACCAATATCAGCATTTAAGAACATTAGCATTGAATAATGGAATATCAATCGACTTTTTGTCATTTTTAGAATTTAGATAACTTGGTTTGAGATAAGTAGAAGTTACCATCAATCCAAATGTATGTTTAATGTAAGTAAATACATTTGCAACAAATTAGTTTTATTGTTAATGGATTTTACCACTATAAATACTGACATCAGTGATGATTTGTTTAATGCAAAGCTCACATTTCTCCCACAGATTTGAGTACAAGAAAATTACTTCTTCCTCAGAGAATTTACTTTACATTTAAATACTTTATATTTAATATAATTGTAATCCTAAATGAAATACATATTCATTCAATTTTGGGATATATAGTGTTGAATATTGATCTCCTTCGCTGTCTCCTCTTAGCAAATTATCCTTGCTGCTGAACATGTGAAAATGAAATACAAACAAGGTCTGGCCGATGTAATAGAGGCGTAATGTCATGCAATCAAAGATAAAATTTACAGTCAGACTCAGTACTTTTGAGAAATTGCATTTTCAAATTGCTTCCAAAGCTTCACAGTAAACCGGCCGCCTTTTGATTATTTGAGTATTTAACATTCTGTATCAGTCTTTTTTAAGCCTTCCACAGAATGTCAGCAAACGCTCTTCCCCTTCCCTTCTAACTTTCTGAAATGTGTTGTGTTTGGCTTGCATTAATCTTACAGCTCCCAGTTTGCTGCAAAAAGTCACTGTCATTTTCTCTTTTTCTGCATATCTCTCTTGCCAGCAGCGTACTTCTTCTCAGATAACACACTGTAATTATCTTATTTTCATCTTACGCTTTGATTTTTTTAAAGGTTTTAAAAGTTGGGGACTATTTTGGGGGTCTTGGCCACTTTTCAGTTCCTTTTATTGGCTTTCTGCTCAAATAAACCTGACAGCGGCTCACCTGGGAGCAGCTCCTCTCCCTCCATCACCTCACACACAGGCAGGAGCCAGTTACTATGGTTACGGGCTTTGGTGTCGCTAAGTTACTATATCCAGAGTCGTCGCCCCAAACCTTTTTTTTTTTAAATTGACTCTGCTTATGTCTGGTAGTCAGACAGGAGGATTAATGCTAAAACGGAATTGCCCTGCAGATTAAATATTAGCATTTAAAAACACTCATACGTATATCTACCTCTTTACATTTGGAGATGCATTCGGTTGAGAACAAACCTGTACTGTTTCCTGGTGTCGTATCTTCCCGCATTCGTCTCACGGATTTTGGTGGCCAGCACCCGTACAATGTTCACAAACAAGATGAAGTTGAGCTGAAACAGAAGAATCGAGACGGAAAAGCTCTTCATTTATCCAGTAAATGTTTGAAGGGTGAATCCAAACATGTAAAGTGTAGCTGTCATTATATTCATATTTACAGAAGATGTTTTCGCTCCAATTCAATTCAAGTTAGCGCAGTCATCGCCCGGTTGTACATATCAAGCGATGGTATCTAGCAGAGTAAAATGCCTCTTCTATTAACATAAAAATGTGTTTGTCGAAGCCAACCAACAGATCGAATGTGTTTTATTTCTAATCACAAGCCAAAGTTTGTGTTTTTTCTATCTTCCAGTAAACAGATTTTAAAACAGACAAACAAACTCATAAACACATTCTTGATTTCAACGTGTAATAAAGAAAAAGCAATTTTTATACCACTTTTTAAAACTTTCTCAGATGCGATTATCTGTATATTTGCCACAATATTTTCAATTCTGTTCATCAAAAAGCAAAATGAATTGAATGAATTGAAAAAGAAAATAATTGAGCGGCTACATTTTTATTTGATGGAAAACTAGTAAAAAAAAAAGCTTGAGAGGCTGTGCATGCCTTAAAGTGAACTGTTCTTTTGAATCAATTATACTTTATTTCATAAGAGCAAGAACAAAAAAGCATTTTTTCAAGGGCTGGGATTGTTTTTTAGAGGCATTGAGGAAAAGCAATTTAAAAAGGTGCCAATCGAGGATTACTTTTTCCACAGCCAGAAGCCAGGGCCCCTGAATCTACACCCTCCTTTCAGTGCCCTAGTTGAGCCTGAATGAGAAGATGGTAACAAATGGAGCTCCAGAATACACATGCCAACACAACAACAACAACAATAACACAATACTTTAACTCCTCCTCCATCTTTCATTACTAACACAATACAACATTTACTTGGACCACAGTGCTAATGAGATGTCTGTTCCAGTATCTTTATAGATAACACTATGTGGCAGGTGTTTTGCGATGTCATTTACTGCAACATTCGTTTTAAATTGCCTGAGCGGGAGAGCGGGAAGTTTCTGAACTAGATATCTAAACATCTTACTGTAGATAACTTAATTCATGTTTTATCATACTCAACAGCATCTTGTCTCAAAGAGAATTTTCCTCCACATGACGAGCTATCTACAGAAGATATAGCCACTCAGAAATAAAGCATTTTCATGAAGCTGTATTGAGTGGTATAATGCTAAAATTGAGTTTTAGGTCCACCCAGTAACACTGCAATTAAATTAAAACTTTAAAAAAAGAAATGATAATTAGAGGTTTAGCATTGACGGAATTATGACAGCGAGAACACTTGATAAACTATGTCTAGTTTCATACTTCTGTATTGCACAGTTGCAAACAAATGAAATGTTAATGCTTTTAAGACATCCTGCTGTAGGTCGGACAGCATTCTCTTACAACTAAGCTCTCACACTAGCCGGCTGAATGCTGATGTTGTACGCCATTGGGTCATCGGAATAATGGTTTTACCAGTCGGAGATGTGACAGAAATAAACACTTGCTTGTGAAAGACAAAAAGCGTTCTGCTGTGAAAGAGATGTGTTAACAAGCTAATTAAAGTGCTAAAAAAATACCTCTGCCGACTATACCTGGACTAGGTAACACTTTATAAGCACTTACGATGGCACTTGTTTATAGCACTTTGTAGTTTGGCTTTCTGGGAGAAATACTGTACTTTCTTGATTCTTGTTCTGAGTCTCTACACCTCTTGGTTCAATGCACTTATTGCAAGTGGCTTTGGATAAAAAAAACACAGCAGGAAGTACGTATGATTTGAATCACTAAACTCTATGATTCTTTTTAGTGTCAACATCGGCCCCTGGTACCCACTTAGTCAGTCATTTGGGAATCCACTCAGTCACAGATTGACAGAAAGGAGGGGGTGGCTTTTTAAAATTATGTTATGGATGTTATTATCACAGCATACATCTTTAACATATTATCTTAGCTTTCACCTGATGTGACGGACTGCTGATAATTCATATTGATTTTGTGAATAATATGTAATTATCTGCTAATAAGAACTAAGAACTAATAAACAATCCGAGTGGCTTTTTTTCCCCCCAATCTCTTGGTTTGTTGCTGGAACAGCTGATAAAAGTCTGGTAAATCTGTTAATAGTTTAAGTTTTGTAGTTCATCACAATTCAACCTTGACGGACACATAAATATCTGAACCAACTCTTGAGTAGGCAGTTCAAGATAGACGTTGAGATCAGAAAGCAGTGCATCGGTCCTCATAAAAACATCCGTTCTCCTTTCAATCTGCAGGAGACTTTTCCCAATCGCAGCTTGGCAGCAACTCGAAACAATCAACCGACGGGACGGATACAACTTAGCGTAATTCCTCAGTGGTTCCTTTGCCGTGTCCTCACGGCGAGACGCTGCATAAACAAAACAATCGGCTCGTCCTTCGCTCTCCTTTACTTGTGTTTTTTTTGAAGGTTTTAGTACTTTGAAGTACTACAGTAATCCCCAGTTTGTAGAGGTGTGTGCATAGGGAGGATTAAAGGACAGAGCGAGACTGTTAATCCTCATTGATTGGCAAGATATTCACTTGCAACAAACACTGTTGTTGATTGCTTTCTACATTCTACACTTTTTTCATCTTTTGCTGCTCCTCCCCTTTTCGAGTCGCCCACACATCATTAAAAACTTGCACATTACTTTCTGTCTATGACAGAATTCTAGTCAGATGTTTAGTTGAATACACCCTGATCTGCACCCTTAGGCGTTGATTGAAATTGGTTCTTACTAGGACGATTGTCTCCGTTCAAAAGAGCTAAATCTTACTTCACGCCACGTACATTTCTTTGAAACTTCTCAAGCCACAATCACTTGAAGCAACAGAAACGTCAAACTGTTTTTCTCATCTGAAATCTTACCCCGACGGCGGTCAGAATGGGAGCCTGGTAGATCCATTTAATATTGCCAGCGGTTAACTCCCAACACCTGAAAACACCAGAAATACAGAGGATGGGAAAGGAGAGGATGGAATATTAAATAAGAATACAGCAGAGTTTAAAAAAAACACATGGAGAGAGAAAATGTGGCACAAGATAGATGATTGGGGTCTTTGTAAATTTTTTAAAAGTCTGGGATTTGTGCAGAGCAAGACGGTGCAGTGTGCAACCCAACGCTAAATAAGACAAATTCATGGACTGGAAACACGCTGTGAAAGGATTAAAGCTGCGTACACGGGTAAATCACAGACATTTGTCACACCGCGGTAACGGCCTGTCAATCACAAGGTAGCGAGGCCGTAAAGCACACCCTGCTCTATGGTCCATTTCACTCTAAATGGACCCATGTTTACGAAATGAACACAATTTCAATAATTGAACGATAATTTCTGAGATGCATGGCCTTTCCCTCAAAGACTTTTATGCACTGAGACAGAATTTTGCAGTCATGGCCATTAGAAAGACTGCTAGTTTATTGATGCAAACCAGATGTTGCCGCCTGGCAAACATAGTTTGTTTTGTAGTAGAGTCAATATGTCTTTTCTCTTTGAATTATATTTTTCTCTTCATACATTACATCAAACCCTGTTTATAGACCTGATATAATATTTTATACTTTCAGTAAGCATTCCTTATTTTCTAACACTAAACCCTTAATATGAATCTGTTATGGAACTGTATTATTACTTAGTTACAAATGTATAATTCATAAAGTGAACCTGATACGACACCTTTCAAATGTTAAGCTTGTTAAATAAAAATGTATTCAGATCAGATCGTATTTCAAATCATGCCCAAACATTAATTCGATTGATTTAAATGTCACCACAGTTATGCAATAATTAAAAGGATCTTTGTGTTTCGTTTCATGTTTATATTGAAGCTTATTCATTAAGGTGTTGAACTTTAAAAAAAGTTTTTGGTGTTATAAAAGATCTACATTCAAACACGCTGCGACTTGTAATCTCACCTTGCGTCTGCTAGCGTAGCCCTGACAACCGCCCACACCGACACAAAAACAGCTGGAACACCTGGAATGAAAAAAGCAAAAAGCCAATTTAAAGTGTGCGCACTTCAAAGAGCCAAAACATTGGATTTCAAAAAAGGAATAAGGTACGAGAGGCTGTACTTTATCGTCCAATAATGTATACCCCCCCCTAAAATTTCCAACTCAATCAACAGAAAGAGTCCTGAAGTGGTTACTGTTTTATTTTAGCTCGTTGAATTGTTCATACAGAGGAATTCAGGTCAAAGCCCAGGGAGTGTGAATGATAATGTATGTCATCAATTATGTGGCTTAATGAATATATCTACAATCTTAAACCAAAGCGACTGCACAGGATTGGGAAGACCGAACTCTCTCAGATAAGAAATCCCTCGATCATCTAAATGTGGCTGCCTACTAAGAGTCCCATGATTAATCTGTGCAAGTGTATTCCAAGGAGACGTGTTCCCCCATCCTCCTTAAATTGATAGGTTATTCCAACAGATAGATACATTTTAAATGAATGCAGCATCTTGTCTGTAGCTGAACTGAAAAAAAACCTGAAGATAAGCGGCAGAACTGGAGGCTGAGAGAGTCTCGTGTGAGTTTGAGAAGGAAGTACGTGGATGTCACAATAATATTCTGCAGATCACTTAGCATAGAACTGAAAAAGCAAGGTATTATCTCGCTTATTCAATGGGAACCTGATTACAGCCAAAGAAGATAATTAGAGCATTCGTCTATGCAGCCAGCAGCAGTTAGATCTATTCTAGATCTAAAAAGTACGAGTCTGCAAAGGACAGCTATTCAAAATGAGCTCGTCAGAGCGGCTACGTTCATGTACATTCAGCAGCTATGGCGTGTTTCTCTAAATTTGTTTCATACTTCAAAAATATCTGCATTTGCATAACTTTGTTAAGTTACATTTTCTTTTTAAAGAAGACGATGACACAAAGCAATCTTGAAGGTATCGTGGATCCTTATCTCGCTATTAGCCCTATGGAGCAATGTTTTAATAAGATGGTCTCCATTCGGTTTCTTTGAATGTAAAAGCCTTTCATCTAGTGATAATTGAATAGTACCAGCGGCTGTGTTGCTTCTGATCCCCCACGTAATTCCCTTTCACTCAGAATGCAAGAGCAGCACTTTGTAGAGACGAGCTTCGTATGGATATGCACCGAACATGAGCAGACAATAAACACCACAAGGTACTGAGAGGGTTCTGCATTCTACAGAGTATGTTACTGCTTCGTACTTTCTGTGCATTTAATAACATTGCTGATATGGCAACTGTGACTGTATTAAAAGTTGAACATCTCTATTACCTAAAGCGTTCAGCGTTGGCTACATTTCTGCTGAAGTGGTTGGAGAATTGTTGAGATCTGACTCTTTAGTCGTGCAGCACCGTGTCTTTATTTATTTTCACGCTTACCCCATCCGATGAGGGTGAAGCCCCACAGGTATTTGGAGTCTGATCGGAAGGCCATGAAGATGAGGCTGTGGAGGTAGAGGCCTTCTACCAGGATCCAGTAGTAGTTGGTGGCCAGAAAATAGATGAAGAGGAGCACTGTCACCTTGCAGCCAATCTGATAACAAAACATTATCCCTTTTATCACGTCTCATTGGAACCTGACACATCACTGTGATAACAGTACAAACTAATCCAGCGCAGCGGAAATAGAGAAGAAGATTTTATCACCGCCTTGTATAAATCTGCACAACATTGAGGAAAAGTGCTCAGTTTATCAATACCGGGCATCAAAACAGCTTCAATGTAACACTATTTACACACACATTTGACTAATTGACAAGCATTTGTTTGATCACTGCAATTCCCAACTACGATGGACCAGGATTAAAACAACATTGTTCAGTGCAAATCAAATAGTTGCTGTCACTCTTTAAGATTTGTCAAGTTATTAGTGACCTGAAACAATCATTTATGACTCAAATCAGCCGAGTGAAAAAAGCAATACTGACCTTTGTACCAATTTGAGACGACTGGATCTATTTCTGAACTCGATTGAAAAAAAACGTATTATTGCAGAGCAACATTCAGATCGTCTGGAGCAAAGTCTGTGCTTCTGCTGCGATTCAAACTGAAAACATCACCGTTTGTGATGTTCAATCGGAAAAGTCCCCACAGAGGATTTGTGTCTTGCGACCATCGGGGCCCCCCTATGTCGTACCTGCCGCCTGTTTGGAGTGCTTCCTATTTCCTGAGCGGTGAGCGCTTATCAATACACCATTGTCAATAACTGTGTCTTTATTATCCAAGCTGACCTTCTTCTCCAAGTCACCCGTGTCTACCCTTTCTCCAGCTTCCGTCTCTCCTTGGTATCCCTCTTTGTGCACCATTGAGCGTCGGACGTAAAGACGCCAAGAGCGGCTCAATGGAGCCGTGATGTGCCGTCACGAATCAGAGAGACTTTACTCTACTCAGTTGGCCCTGACTGAAGGAAAAAAACTGACCGATCTGGTACTTACATACTGAGTATTGTCCAGTGGTGCCATGGTGACGGTCTTTAAGTTGTCCAACAGGGCGGAATCAAAGTCCTGCAGTCCGGCGCTGGAATGGACGACTTTATCCTTCACAAAGATGCTGACCGCCCGGAGCATGAAGGACACAAACAGGTGCATGTGGATGTAGTTCCTGGTGCAGTGAAGACGCCTGCCAGTAAAAATCAACAGTATTCACTGGTGTGAAATCATGAGATATGTTATGCACTAGGAAAAAACATCCAAAAGAAAATACAGCTAAGCAGTTTTGTCAGCTGAGGTTTCTCTGCCGCAAAACAAACAGACAGGCTTTATATTTTCCTTCTAACTGCTGCTTACGATCGCTGCTAAAACAAAAATCCTCCTGTTCACTTAATGATGATGTCACCATCTTCACTGTCACACTGTCCCTAATTGGCTCTTAAGCATCAGTGAACTGTTGTAGGGAGCAGCTATAATCGTGTTTAGTATGCAAATGTTTGCCTGAACCTCTCTGAGGTGGATTTGGAGGAATAATTCCGTGCCATGGGAACTGCTTTGGCTCACCTCGTCACACTGCATTAGGCATCCTGGGCAGCTTCTGGTTGCTCAGCACCGTAATAAGCTAATGGTTGACTGCGGTTTTCTCAGGTTAATGTGTTGTAGCTAAATTGGGAAATGAGGTGCCATGTCGGGGAGATGCAGATTATTTTGACATTATATTACAAAGAGAATAGCAAAGAGAGCAGAAGAGGGTTGCTGAGGAAGATTTTGAAGCTGCTCTGTGATGTCAAGCGCACTAGATGTAAGCCCCGCATCTGTCAAAGTAAATCTTATCAGCTGTAACTGATCAGAAAAAAAACAGTTTGAAGTTTTCCTATTAAATGATCCGGCTCTGAACACCTTTCGGCACTTTTCCTGGATAAGAGATAAGATGTTATTGACTAACTTAACTTCTTCTTCCCTCCCTCCTCATGAAATCCTGCTGCGTCTCGCTGTAAAAATGCTGCGATTCGAATCCAACGAGTGATTAACAGGGGAACGGCAAGATGGATTACCTCGAAGTGGACGATGGGTGGGATGCCTTTAAAAGCTGTGAGCCACACTAGCGCGATCCCAAAAGATGGATATTGCCTCAAAGTTAGTTTCTTGTGACGTCAAATGATTCTCTCCGCAGCTGGACGTCGGCTTGTTGTGCACTCAGCTTCCCTTTTCTGTTGCCAGCACAGAACCTACTGAGGCTGCAGAGACACGGCAGCTGCCCGTAAGGACCCATTAAGCTGGGTACAGTTGTGGTGCATATTGATTATATTTCATGTATTCAGCACAAGTGTTTTCATGTCCTGAAAATCCTTTTTGGCCTCCTTTCAGTCTCGTTCCCTGCGTCGCGTTGTTCCCCGCCAGGCTCTTGATACAGGGCCACTTCAGCTGAGAGGGCTGCACAGAGATTTCAAGAAGGGTTTTGAGGTGTGGATGGGACGACTAAAATTACATGATGAACCTAAGAGCTCTGCCGGTGGAATCGGTAGGTCAATGCCAATAAAAAAATCGTGATGAGGGAAAAGTTCTTCTGTGTCTTTCTCTCCATTCTGGAGAAACTGTACACATCCCCCTTTAAAAAGTTATATCAAGCAAAACTTCTAAGGCAGCATTTAATGGTTTTTCCTACACCGTGCGGGCAGTTCTGAAGGGTCAAAGAGGACCAACGCTTTTACGTGTATCTTAATAATTAGGTGGCTAGACTTTACCGACAGCAGGAGAATAGGATTAAACATTTGTTCCACTTGATTCCAACCACGAAACACATTCAGCAGCAACAGGATTTATTCATTAAATAAAAAAGTTATTGGCAAAATATGTATTGTATGCGTGGAATGTGGTTCCACTTTGTTATTCATTAATCATTGCTGTTTGGGATATGATTTTAATGTCAAAAAGAAACAATTTGTCACGTCTCAAACAGTACGCCACATTTCAGTGGGATTAGTTGTCTGATTATCACCTCTGTGTCAAACTGTTCACAATATTATTGAGGTTGGTCTCAATCATTTAAATATTTGACAATAATATTTGAGTTTTAAAACTTTTCCTTTTAAAATCCAGGGCCAAATTTGTAATGGTAAATGAAGTGAACCTTAATTGAAAGTCTTTGATGAAATGCAGACTCCATACCTGTAATTATTGCTTTCCTGCACTGGCACTAAAATATTTACATAATTCCTATTGAGCGGCAGATCTATTTCAATGAACTCTTCAATTAAACTCGACATTTCAAATTCCATAAAGCATATGCAGCGGTGGAACAGCCCGCCTGATGGTGTGATGGGCTGCAGCTCAATTAGCACCTTCAAAACCAATTGAGAAAGTCTGTTAAAAGCTGCTAAACTCGCTGACCTTGAATTATCAGATGTGGAATTAATTACTTTCTTTTAGCTTTGTAATTGTGCCTCTTGCGTGCTTTTTGTTTGCATGACTCATTATGATTTACACTGTACTGATTGTTATGCTCTTCTCTTTATTTTGACCTGCAAAGGGAACGCGGATGTGAGGAGCAACAATCCGTCCCTGAATGTAAAACACAAGGGAAACATCCTTCAGGGTCAAACATTCAGATTCTACATCAGAAGCACTGAGGGAAAATGTTTGCGCCTCCTTTTAGGACCTTTGGAAAAAATATTTACACCTCCTTTTGTGAGAATGCAGGCTTTGGCTGAGGGGGCCGATTGACTTTTCGAAACCCTTTTGGACAACCTGAACAGCGCTCGGTTGTCAGTAATTGACATTTGACATCTATAACATCCACTCGTACCTGAAGTATCCAATGATGAAGATGGCCACCAGCAGAGAACTGAAGGACACGGCGTAGCCGGTGGTGTACATGACGTACAGGCGCTCGAAGAAGTCTCGCTGTGAACATACAAAGGGCTTTTCAGTCCGCACTCTGAGGTTGGAGCGCAAACGACAAACATGAGTCACAGCCGTTGGGACCAACAGGATGTAGCAATGGCCACAAAGGGAGGGAGGGAACTCATTATTTTGGATTTGGAGTATGATGAGGGTTAAAGCTGAGACTAATGCCACATGCCGCTGTGCTGCACATATGACACATCCAGGACTGGATCGGTAACTTACTATTGCCAGGTCGTAGAAAAGGTATATTTGTTAGGTCTTAAAGTCTTAAATCCTTAATCTCTGCATGCTTACAAACTGCAGACATGAGGAGTGTAGACAACAAAATATTTTTAGATTGGTTTGACTCAGATGCCCCATTGACAGAAGATGGCCGATTATACCTTTGCATTTCCACCATCAACTTAAGTAAATATAACATTTTAGCCAAGGAGATATCCAGTCCATAAAGTAAAAAGCCACAGCGATGAATATTCCTAAAGTCAAGTCGGAGATTTACATTTTCTGGTAAATTGTACAATGACCAAACTCCTGCCTATTCATATGTTCACGTCTATATGCATGTAATATATACATTGTAATAACTGTAAACTATCCAATGCTTTTTTTGAGAAAAATCGTTTTTTTGGATTGAAGAAGAATTACCGAATGGAGGCTTGTAATTAAACGATTGCAATCAGCACGAGGACAAATATCCACTTGAGCCATTTGTGCAGACTCTTAGGAGTCTCGAGTGAAGTTGGACCCTCATGGACATTGATTCCCAAATAAGGATCAAATCAACAGAGATGATTATAGCTGACTTGCTAAGCCTTTCTCTTAGTATCCTGCCTTTGATTGACCCATATGTTTTTTTTAATCAACTGCATGACAATTACTGCATTAGTAAAAAAAAAAAAGAGCACATTCCCCCCATGTAATTAAAAGATGCACGATACATCTCAGGTCCTACGAGGTGATTAAGGAGTAAACTAGAAAGGAGCACTTGTTAGATCCTTTGCCGCATTGTTTGTTTGATTGAATACACGCTGCACAGAGTTGGAAAATAGACTTCATTAGACTAAAACACGAGCAACAAGAAATGGGCTCCGAATCCCCGTATCCACTTTACACGAGTGTGTCAAACCACAGAAGAAAACTCCCCGGGCTTTCCGCCCACTCAGCAGCGGTGTGCGCACTGATAGCTTCCTAGCGGTTAGCGGTTATCCACACGCGGCGTAAATAGAGTGAAGAAAAAAAACGTGGCTCTGGCGCCAGATTAGAGCGGCTGGGTGGGGGTGGGGGAGGCGAGGGAGGAGTCAGAGATTTGGGTTTCAAACCTCTGAAGCAGCAGCTCACTCCTCCCCCAGTGTGTCCGTACATGTGATGGAGCGAACACGGCTGTGATTTCAGTCAGGTGTTCCTTCAGCGAGTTCCCCCGAAGGGTTCTTCAGTCGGCCTCAACAATGGCTTCCGTGAGAGGCCCTATGAGATTTAAAGCTCTGACGTTTAGTTGACTTACATGCGTGTTTGGGCCTCGTTAACCAAAAAAACGGAGTGATTATTCAGTCGGACTCACCCTCCCTTCCTCATCGGGGGGCTGAAAGAAACCCAGACACTCTGAGTAGTTGGTCCATGTTTTGTTCCAGTGGTCGACGAACACCCAGGAACCGTTCACATCACACTTCCTATAAGCATGTCCTGTAAAAAACAAATAAATATTAAATGCATGTGGATTTTAGGCATTTGCCCACCGGTCTAGTAAAGGGAAGTTATCTCTTCAGAAGCTGTACTCTCTAAACCTGCACAGGTGAGTTCATGAACACATTGATCTCCAACTTCACCGACTTTGTTTGAGGGGGGCTGGCCGCACCTTGGGGATCTCTATAGGAATTATTTTGCAAAAACATTTTGACATCAGCACGAAGGCCTTTGCACGCTGGGTATATTACGTCTTTCTTTGTTAAAGGGGGCACCAGAAGGAGTGGATCTCAGTCAAGCCTTCACCCTAAAATGTTTAATTTACCAAAAAACACCTGTGTGAGAGCGTAATAATGTAAATAAAGTAAATTACATAATGTTTGGTTTTAATTTTGATTTTGAATACTGAATATTCACATTACAACCTAATTCTCCATTACTGGTAGTCTTCTAGTTCTCACTGTTAGCGATGGTCAAACTGCAAAAAAAAACAATAATTGTTAACCTTTGTGGTTGAAGTCATAAATGTAAGACGGGCAGGGGACCTTGGAGACCAGCCCGGGGGAACCGTGGGGCCAACAAATAAGACCGTCCCAGTCTGGAGGGCACACCTCATCTACAGCCAGCGGGATGAGATAAGTAAGAGGTCAGTATACAACTCACACGTCTTCTTTTCTTTTTTGTTAAAGAAAATGTTTTGGATTCATCAATTATTCTTTGTCATTGAAATATCAAATCTTGTGTTGTCAATCAGTAAGATGGAAGTTTAAGGTTCCTTTAGAGCCACTGTTGCAGGACTAAAATAATATATTATAGTCATAATATCATCATAATATGGCCTTTACTCTGTATATTCCTATATACATGAATACAAACATACAGTATACATACTATAAAAGCCTCAGTTAAATATCTCTGGTAACATATTGTTCTGTATGTTTGCTCGTCACTGATTTTGTAGGGGAAAAAATGTTCCTTTGCCTTTTACCAACAAAAAACATGAACAAACAAAAAACGTCAACAGAAACCGCTGGATGTCAGTGGAGGTCATTGGGTAGAATAGTTATAAAATCAAAAAACATTAAATCTGGTGAAAAATGTGAAAGCCACTTAGAGACACGGAAATGGAATCCCTAAACATAAGTGTGCCCTTCCAGTGACTCCTGTGCTCCCCGCTATCAACACAAAGTGCAACTTTCAACATTTTAAAATGAACCTCTGAACTCACTTTCAGGGTACAGAAGAATATTGATTGTTCCGCTTCTGTGTTTATTTCCTGCTGCTTTCTAAATGTAAAACATTTGAAAAATAATGTCGAGCACACAGTGTTTTTGTTTGGAAGTAACTGTTGCCAAATACCTCGACTATAAATTGTACATTGTATATATATATATATATATATATATATCGAATCCTTAACATTCATGAGCCACTATGAAATCCCAACTTCTGTTAATAATGAAAGCAGCTAATAGTGAGCGTGTAGATCACACGACGGAGGTTGAACCGGCTGAAACCGTCTCCTGCACGAACACCCTTTTGTTGATAAACTAAAGTCGATCAAACTAAAGTCAATCAAGAAACAGATTGACATATTAGTTTTTCCGTGGTCACTTCCCATCGCCTCCGGGACAAATATGACGATAGAAGAGCAGTAGACGACGAAGCGCGGCGAAGGCTGTGAATTGTGAAACAACAATAGGAAAACCCAAACGACGGGCACAGCAGCCTGTAGCTTTTGAGATGCAAACCGTCTTTTGCTTTTCAAATTGCAGCACTTTTTTGGATTTATGGTAATTTGCAGTTTTCATTAGTTGGTTCGCAATGTCACATTTATTTGCGCTTTCATGAAGGCACAAGAACCCCCCAGTATTTACATCCCTAGAAGACAGCCTGGAGATAAAGAAAATTGCTTCGAAGATGCAAACGTCCGCCAGACAACACGTTGCAAATATTTGCATGTAAGGTTTTGCTCTGAGAAGTCCAAATGGCACAGGCGCTGGAAAGAAAATGCACGACTGCCGTTAAAAATGGGATTGCTTGTTAACTCTGTACGTTACATTATTTTTATTGGTTTAAAGAAATACCAACGATTGTGAGTGATTAAACTGCCCAAGCGAAAAAACGTAGAGCAGTCGGAACATGAAGACGATTGAGAATAACGGCGCAGAATAAAGGTGTGATTGTCTGTGGCTGCGTGTTGCACCTGTGGACCCGGGCTCAGCGCTGGTGAGGTTCTGGTAGCACTGCAGTTTGACTTCATAGAGGATGTACATCTGCTCCTGTGCGGAGAGAGGGCCATCAAACCCCATCTGTGGAGCACAACAAACAAGGTCAGATCTGTCACGTTCCATTTATGTCTGTTCAAATTACACTTTGCTTTTGGCTTTTCAAAGGCATTTGGGACCCTCTTTTCATATTCTGTTGGCCGTGGTCAACAAGGCCAACGGAATATGAAAAGAAGGTCCGAAAAGGCGATTTTATTGTGGCCTCCAGTTGAGGAAAGTGGAGGAGATTTGTGATAACGAAAACAAAAGGGAAAAAAGCAGTTACACGAAGTTCTGTGCATTTGTCATTTGAATATTCTTTACGTTATAGCACTACAGAAGGTTATTTGTAACATGCAAAGTGTGCTGAGCCTGACACAAAGACACAATGAGCAAAGAACACAGAGTTCCGCTTCATAACCAGTTTTACAGGCTCTACAGGATGATTGTGCTGTTGCATGATAAATCAATCAGGAAAGACCATGTGAATTATTTAGGTAAATTGTAGAGCGGCTAAAACCCCTGAGTGTGTTGAGACAAGTAGCGATTGTACTATCAATCTTTTCAAACCAGCATCCAGCCAAAAACGCCTTTTGGGGCTTTTACTGAGACTTTTTAAAACCTTGTATTGATCAACAGTTGGATATTTAAGCTGGCTAGCTGGCATGGCCTTTCGGTCCATTTGGTTTTAAAGTACAAACGGATTCTTACAGTAGCATAAAGTCAAAGGTGGAGCCGCTGTTTGAGTCTCAAAGACGTTTGTTTGTTGCTCATCCCACTTTGCAGGGTGTCTCGTGCATTTCAACTTCCCAATTCTACAGCATAACGTCTTTTGAGTGTGATTTCTTCAACAATGCATTGAGTTGGATTCCCCATGACAGGCCGTCTGTGTTCATCGGAACTCCATCTATCAAACTTGACACTTTCAAAGGAGAAATGGCACCTTCAGAGGCAGCTTTAATTTATTTTATATTGAACTAACACCGACCACATGGCGGTCTGACACTGTTGTATGTGAAAGATGTGATTATTAATGCCTAATTCAAATGCCACACCTTCTACCTTTTGAGAATTGTGTTTTGCAGCAGTGTAGTCACTCCTGCTTGGTCACCTTTCTGTGTGTAGAAGAGTTAGGATAAGGAATGTTTCCTCTTTTAACACCTTCACTCTGTTTGTTTCAAGGTAGAAAAGAGAGAAGGCACACATCATAATATTTACTGTCTTCACACTTTCAGTTTAGCATGTTAGCATGCTAACATTTGCTAATTAGCAGAACTGTAATTAGTTGACAAGTATCTGTTCATTATCTAAATTGTTAAACAAACATTTAACTAAGGGCTCTAGAGGAAATGTCAAGGAATCATGTGAAGATAACAGGCATATTTGAGGATTTTATTTTGAAGTTCTTTGTTTGATACAAATTCAAAATAACTTCCTGATATGGTCCTTAAATGTAAGTCCCTGCAGATCCACTATTTCTTCATGTATGGCTACTGGGCGAAAGCTGTTAAGCCTGTCAATCAAAGACAGGAGTGTTTTTTGTGTGTCCGTCTGCTTTTTACTAAAAGGAGCAATTACACAGACGTTTTTCAGAAATAATGGAAAAGCATAACCGTGGTTTTCATGTTTTATTCTTTGTTTTTTTAATCCATCCTTCAAACCAACTATTTTTTTTCTCCCTCCGCCTGCTCAATTTGTTGCTGCCATTTACGTTTATTATGAGAAATAGAAATGATAATAATACAGCAGCAAACCAAAAACTACTTTGTCTTATCAAGATCCTTAGTAAATAAATAAATAAACATGTTGTTTTCGTCCTTTTAAGTTGTAATACCGTGAGTCATGACTCATGACGCTCTGATGAGGTAGACTCATGACTCATGAGTCTACCTCTGATGTCAGTTCAGATGTTGAAATTGTAACAAACAAGATGTTTTTGTATTGAGCGCCCGTCCTGCCGCTCCTAGGCTGGGAAGATAATGGACCGGGAGCACCGGAGGGTGGTAAATGAACGGTATTTATTCCCACTAAATAGGGAAATGAGGTGTGTCAGAGCAACACACTGACGTGGGGGCTTTTATCCTCGGGGAGCTCTGGGACCAGGCGCTCTGCATTTGGCAATCTGGCTGGCGCTGCTCACCTGTGACACCTTCAGGGATGATGGGACAAATGAGTGGTTAAACTACCCCTGTGCCTTTGGAATAGGCAAGGCCGTCACAATCGGAAATGGAATACAAATTGAATGCATTGCCTCAAAGTTTTTACCATCTTCTAGTCTGTAGAGATGAAAATCTATCCAGACATTATAATTGCGCTGTACATTTGAGTAAAGGTATCGTTATGGAGTCATATCGTCTCATGCCAGCCTGTCGTGGGGAAGGACACTGTGTTCATAGGGACCAAGTCAAGTCTGCTGAACAGTGGGATGTCAAATCCGTGACCAATCAGGCGTGCTGAATCTGACGTGCATTCTCACACGCGACGGAGCATCACACGCGATGGAAGAGGAGGTTGTCGGCCATTAACTTGGACCGTTTATTGCATTGATGTTCAATGCCCCCCGATTTCCAAGTGGTCATTTTTCAGCACAACCTGGTCCCTGTCGTTACAACAGTTTGACAACTGAATGAACACTTAAAGTACACAGTTGAGTGATTGATTGCCTGTAAGATGAATCCAGATATACTTTTCTTCCTCCTTTCATGGGAAGGAGTCTTGAATGGACTAAAGGTTTTAAGTCTCTTTCGTCAAACTTTTTTACTTTCTGAGCCACTTAGCGGCTTTAATAGAACGTTCTGTTCATACACATGATCAAAACTCATCTGCGCTGTTTTAAGTCTTCCTGCTGTTTCAGATCTCTCTTCTCTCCGGTCTTTGGCCGAGGAAACACAGGTGTTCACCTCTAAAATAGGTTCAAGTTTAGACCTCCTCAAGCAGAGTCCATTTCATGAATGTGAAGCAAGACTCGCGTTCGGCCCATTTTGCAGAACAGCAACAATCTGCTGATTCCATCAACTCCGATAGACGGCTGCTGGTAAGCACCTCCGCACTGATGGTTTTCTCAGTTGGTTGTGGAGGCATTATATAGAAGATCCTCTATGAAAAGTCAGGGATCCTTTGGAAAACACTGCATCTTTATCTAGTGTTTTTACTGAAAATCATTTTTTTTAAAATATCGTTTAAAGCAAATTTCCCCACGATCTGAACTTGAGGCCCAGTTGTTTGTTTTTTATTTCTGAGTTACTTTCCGTCTTTAACCTGCTGCGTGGGGCTGAGGGGTGATACCGGTCATCGGGGTGCTGCACAGTGGAGCTTCCCTCTCGCTGTCTGTGTATTACTTATTCCAGGGGTCGAAGAGGCACTTTGCCTGCATCATAATGAGAGCCAGCCGGTCACATCACAGATCTCCGCCTGCTACTCGTCCTCCCAACTCCCAGGAAACTCATTGATTCTCAGGCTTCTCACTAACAGGATTTCAGGCAGGTCTCTCCCCCGTCGATTCATGGTGGGGTACGCAGCCGTCCTGTTTTTCGTGGTAATATTGTTGAGGCTACAAAAAAAAAACCACGTGTCTGCATGGTCTTGTGCTCTGTCTTGAGTCAACGGTAAAGTTGTTTTCAATCGAGTCCATTTAATACTACTACTACTTCCACGGTCGCATCCAACAGGTGAATCTTTGCTTCCAGCACTGCGACCTTCTGTAGAAGCTTTTCTACAGAAGCTCGATGAAGAGCAGGCCTTCAGTCAGAGCAGCAGGGGTTTGATCCCATGTCCACGTCTTCGGCGAGACATTTTAGCCCACGTTGCTCCAATAGCCGTGAATATTAGTACCTGACGGGCAGGTGGCACCGTGTCCTATCATCGGGGAGGGATTGGGGGTGAACGGGTGAGTGATGAAATGAGCTGTTAAAGTGCTCTGAGTTGTTGGAAGAATAGAAAAACGGGGTTATAAGTACAGAACACTTACCTTTTGCAGACCATTTGCCTTTCTATTCACTGCAGTTTAGGCATGAGTCTTTGTGAGGACCTCATACCATCATATCCACAAAGAACTACCGTACCACAGATGAATCACATGTGGCTTATGGTTTCTCACAGAAAAACGAATAATCAGACAAATGAAAAGCATATGCACTGCAAGAAAGCCAGAAGTACAACTACAAGCAATCAAAGTAAAAGTTAACTTTATTTGATTTTGCTTTTGCACTACACTTATGACTGAATATTTGATGGATTTCATTCACGCTTAAATGGGCTCTCTTGATTAGATCCCAGGTGCTGTTCATATGCATATTACAACCCAGCACTCTTTGCACGTCTTTTGCACTCCTGTGTGTGTGCCTTGTCTGACTTTCCCTTTCCCTGCTCTTGCTGTGGGCTGTGTTTGTGTGTTGTTAAAAGAATATTTGTATTCTGTTCATGTGTAAACCGTTGCTGCAACACAACCCCCCCACCCCACTTCCCCCCTTGAGAAGCAGTAAAGAACCTTGAACATTTGCACAAAAAAGGTTTCTTTAATATTCATCTACAAACTAACAACTATCCTTCCCTGACCATTTTTCTTTGCCTTAACCTCACCAAGTATGCTACACGTGCCCCCTCCAGCCTCTGGGATCAAAGCCCTCCTCCCCCCCGTCCAACCCGGCTGCCTCCCTGTGACTTCTGTGCAGCACAACGCAATGCTTAATTAGCCGGAAAACATGTTACTCGGGCACATAAGCAGCTACATTTACTCCAAAACATATCAATGTCATCTGTTTGGGGGCAGTGCTGCATAATGAGGTACGGAGAGGGGGTTTAATTACACAGATGAAAGGCGCTTTTTTTGACGTGAACACGTCAGCAGCAATTTACTTGTCTGGCGTTTACCAGCAAGGACTTACACAGTGATCTGGCTTTAGATGACCAACGTTGAGGCAACGGGGACGAGCTTCCTCAGTCAGAGGGATCAATCTGCCTTTGTTCACTCTACACATTCCTTCTTTCACTCTTTAAGCCCAGGCACATGTAAAGATATTTTTAAAACACTCCATATGCAATGTGGGTGTTTTTGATTTGGGAGGCATGGCGACTTGAAGGAACAAACGAGGATGGTTATTCTTCCTCCCTGAGAATTTGTGACCGGCTGAAATGCAAATATTAAGATAACTGCAGGAGAGCCCTGAATATAGTTTCGCAGAAGTAGTCGAGGCGTCTCCACTTTCAGATATGTGGCAAGTCGATGTCTGAGGAAGCCAAATCCAACATGCATGTTTGCTCAGGAGGGGGGGGGCCTTTATCAGCAGCACGTCTACAGCCGCTGACCCTGGAACCCGGCCCCCGGGGGGAGCCGAGTGAAAGCGATGGATTCGATTTCACTAGCCAGCTGTCAACAGCTACATTTGGAAGTGAGCATCAATGGCAGCGCTTATGCCATGAAGCCAATTAAGAAATCGAAAATCGAGAGAGAAAAAAATAGAGTCCATGCAGCAGCTGTTGCTGCTTCAGTCCACCAATTAAAAGTTGGAGTGGTTCAGGATCTTTAGGACCGGTGTGTTGTAACAAACTGTAAAACCTTGACATGGGTCAGGGTTCTTGGGAATAATCCGAACGAAGCTTCCTGCACTGGTTCGCATTTAAGGCTGAACAACTTTAAAAAGGTTTCACCACTCAACACAGACAGCCATTAAACACTCATCTCGAAATGTCAGATTCCATTAAAAAAAAATCAATTTTCCAACCATACAAACTAACGATTAAATTCTGTCATTTGTAATTTCAACACTGTTGTTTGGACTGAATGCTTCTGAGCAGCCGGGGCAGAAGGCGCTGTCCGCGGTGCTGAAAGTACAGACGCGCTCTCCTTCTTTCAATTGAGCAGAAACACCTCAAACATTCCGCAGTGCTAACCGGTCACTCACAGGGCGATCCACGGTTCCGTGACTCACGCGCCCGCATGCCTGCTGATTCCCTGGCTACAATGTTACTCGTTAAAAGGGCAACGGTCCACGCTGGCAGGTGCTTTGATCCGTTTGGTGGCAGCTGATCAATGCACATATTTAAAATGAATTATTTAAAATGTAATGACGGGAGAGAGAAAGCACGTTGACCGTTAGGAGGAGCTTTTGGTTTTAATTATGCTAAGGAGTTGGCCACAGATTTCTCTTTCCAATCTATTTAATTAGCAGCATAATCCAATCATGCGAAGCCAACACGGGCAGTGTGAGTGTGCAAAAATTGGCAGATGAAGGCTACTGATACAACTCCACAAATACGGAACAAAAACAACAACAGGCTTTCAAAATTATAATATTTATATATTTTTTAAATGTATGAAAGAAAATATAGATGTGGTTGACTGCAGTAAAGAAAAGAAGGACTGTTGTCATTTCAAAGATTCCTGGCGAAGTGGCTGCACTTACCTGTGCGTCTGCAGGAGCCCGGCGCAGTAAAAAGTTTATGACTAATATCCTCACGAGCGCCTCCATCTCCCGCGATGTAAGAAAAGAAAGAAGAATGTGAACTCAGCGTTGGTTTGAATTCAACCCCGTCGAGATCAACACTTAATCCCAATTGTTGAGTTGGAGCTTCACGTTATGACAGAAAGTTGTGCTCCGAAACGGACGGACCCGGCGCGCTCCACGTGCTCTTCCTGCGTGACATCGCTGCCCGCGCGTCGGTCTGCGGGCAAGTGCGCCGCACGCACAGTGTCGTCACAGTGCGTCATGATTTTGAAAAAAATAATCTGGTAAAAATGTTCTGGACTTGAAGTTCCGCCTGTGCCTCCGTGAGATTTGTCGCTGAGATCTTCCTCTATGCTTCCTCTCCTCTTCCTCCCTCTCCTCGTGGATTAAAGCGCGGGAGAGGTCACGCGCCTAACTTGTGTGTTTTTGCCACAAAGACCCGCTTTTATAGGACATCTGTAAATGGAAAATGAATTTGTTTTTATTCATCGACTGTCTCCCTTTTTTATCAACTCAGCATACAAAAAAAAAGTTCAGCCAAAAAAATACAATGTTGGTTTATACTTTTTACATACATAACCTGCATAATCTAATGCTAAATATTAATATTCATAAAATTAATATTGGTCTTCAGACTAATTTTGCTAGTTTATTATTAGTTAACAGATGAGCAAGCTAATGCTTTTTTAATTATGTATTTGTGATATGATTATGATATGATATAGACTACAGTATACAATATCATCTCCGTATGTCGATAGAGTGAAACGTTCTCAGTGAGCAGTCGGGTGATCATACTTACACATCATCAGTGTAACCTTAAGTTACCATGGCAATCTGGAAATATAAATCGAACAATCAATCTTTTTTTCCGCTGCGCTTTTAGCCTTCAACTCCAGATAATAATGTTCCTCTCTGAAGCGACGACGGCCTTAAACAAAAAAGAGGCTGTGCACAATGCAATGCAATCATGTGTCCTTTCAACAGAATAATTCCCAAGTCGATGCCAAAAAAAACGTTAAACCTGAGCACACTAGTCTGTGACTATTTCCTATGTTTAAAATGCTGTATGTTGAAAGCTAGAAGGAACAATAACCTTTATAGACAGGTCGCCTATTACACTGAGTGTGAGCGGGGTTTGAAGACAGACACTGTTAAAACATTTAAAATGACCCAAACATTCATAGCATTCCATCCAACTTGTTTTCCAGTTGGAGTGTTGGTGCTAAAGGAGCTGCGTCCAAAAGCCCGTCACTTCTCTACTCACGGATCACAAACGTGTGATCCTGTGAACGCGCGATGGAAGAAGGCGTGAGGGAGGATTTCACACAAATTATTGTGTTTTTTTGGACGTGGGAGGAGCTTGTGGAACGTCTGGTGGGAGCTGATGCATCCAAGCGGGCGCACGAGGGACGCACGCTGTGCAGCATGCTGCTTAAATGGAATCTGTTGAAGGCACGCAGCTGTCAAATTGACATTTGTGGGCTATAATTTACCCAGCGTGTAATGGGTGTAAAATAAACCACTTTACAACCTCCTAGTGGCAGGGTAACAATAGAGGAGGGACAGAGGCGAGAGGGAAATAATCTATTTGCAGTCAAAAAAACTTTCAGAAGGCATTTCATGCAGAAATAGAAAGAGATCCTGGAGCATGCACCCTCTCATCAGAACCCGTTTGAATAGGCTGTTAGTATTGTATGATTTCACATCCAAGCACTGTTTTCTCTCTCTGCCCAATTAGAGGGGAAAAGGGCATCCACTTATGCCTTCACAGGTTTTTATCAGAATTTTATAATGAAGGGCTCCTGTCTGTGCTCAACCAAAGGCCTGATATGTTCCATCGCTGCCCCCTCATGACGCCTGAAGTGAAACTATCCTCACATGGAACCGGCTGCTGGAGCTCATTTTGTCAGCACGACTCAAACTGAACCCAATCCCGGCTTTTCTCTCACCTTCCCCGAGCCCCTCTCTGCACTGCCCGTGTCTAATCCTTCATGTGTGTTGGGTGGTTTCCTTGAGATCCACATGAGAGCAAACAAAGATGGCTTTGGAATTTGCTCAGCATGAAAAAGGGTAATTCAATTCATTTTACATATTGCAAAAATGATAACAGCAGTCGTCGCGGTGCACTTTGTCGCAGGGAGCAGACAAAGACGTGTGATAGTATATTTTTACAGAGACCCAAGAATTCCCTCCATGAGCTGAGGTTGCAAAGGAAAGACGGTCTGTTACTATTTAAAGAGGAATGGAAGTTGCATTCATTATTTCATCTTATTTTCAATACTTAATCTCCCCTTAAAGAAGAAAGAAAATACCCCTGCCCAACACGCCACGACGCTGCAAAGACTAACAACCCAAGCAATTAAATGTTGTGACACTCCACCCAGTTTTTACATTTTACTTGTATTGGTATGAATAGTGCCCAATATGTTTACACAGCTCGCTGTCATTCCTAATGAGCCTCAGTCAAAACTAGCTGCCAGTAAAGGAAAGCTTTTAAACACACTGAATTCTTTCCCCTGCTTTCCTGTAGGCGTTCCTTGAATATGAATGAGACGTTTTATTTAATCCGTGACTTCATATGTATTTGATGTCTCCTCGCTGTTCATTATCTCCATCGCCATCAGAAGCTTCAGTGGAGAGTTTTGTCGTCAGGTTTCCTCTCAAAAGCCTCGGAGGGCGCTGCTTTACTAATGCACATTTTGCACCCTGGGTTCAACATTGATGCTTCAAATCTCCATGTTTAAAATGAAAAAGACACATGACTCATTGTGAGTCAGTTATTAACAGAGAAACATGTTTCAAATGGGAGTTTGAAAGCTGCCTCGGTGGCGGCGTTGCATGTGTAGGAGGCTCACACGCTTATGAAGACCAGCGACTAAAACCTGCTGCTGCGGTTGGGTTTTTTTAAGTAGCCTTTGTTGACTTTTCAATCACACGTCGTTTTGCTGTCGAACTGAATAATAGTTTTTATTAAAGACTCAATGGTCGGGATGTTCTTCACAAATTAATCACAAAAAATGTGTTTCATCCTTTTTGAGAAAGCTCAGTTTGAAAGCTGATTAGCATCAAATGAAGCCAACAAGCCTTTCTTTGTATAGCACATGTGAACGTAGCAACAGTAAGTAATAAACAGGAATAAGATACAGATTGATATGAAAAAACAACTTTTAAAACAATGAAAACAAAACGATCAAAAATAATGTGCCTATAAAAGTCAAAAACAATTGCAACCACCTCAGTGCTTCAAGTAGAGTGTGGAGGTGCAGAGGTTGTGTAGTGACTTGTACATGTAGCTATAATGTGACCACAGTCCATTTAAAATCAGTTTTATTTGAACCCGTTCATTTGAAGTTTCATTTTGCATCAGAAGAAGAAGCCATTTGTATTGCCTAAGCATTATGTTGCACATACGGGAATCGGTTCTTTGCATTTAACCCATTGCACACAGTGAGCTGCCGTAAAGGCGCCCGGGGAGCGGTAAGGGGTCAGGTGTCTTGCTCAGGGACATTATATACAAATATATTTATATATATATATTTACTTTAATACTACAAGAGGGCGCCCGTTTGACATATTTTTAAATTAATTTCAAACTCTTCAAAATTGAAAATTTAAAACATTTTATTTATTTATTGTAAATGACCTCTCGCGGCCCACCTGCAGTACCACACTTTGGGAATCGCCTCTCTAGATGATTAAGACACAACTAATCAACACCCATAAAATGAAGAATTAAAGCAATCAATCTCCTGTGGTGACAAATCGTCTCTGAAAATTAGAATACAGTTTTTGTATCTAAAATAACAAATTTTTAAATTTAGGGATTATTTATCGTATCCACTCGTCTCTCAACATGGCGACAGCTAAGCCCGGCTAACGGTGCTAACGAGGCACAGCGTTGCTGACGGAGGTCACGCTTTTAACCCATTGGCCTTTAAAGCCCGTAAACCCTGTAGAAAACCCAGGACGGTGTAGCTATCGCAAAAAATAAAAAACAGCTCTTTAGCAGATTGGGTGATTTGCCTTTTAATAAATTGACACTCAATACAGATCCAGAGAGAGTGGGTTGCTCTGCTGCTCACTCATGAGTGAAGGGTGGGAGGTGGTATGGGGGCAGAGGGACTGGTGCCTTCTCCGCATGACTCACGGGTCCCGATGGGGCTGGTGAGAACTCCTCTGCAACACAACATGCATTTGCCAAAACCCGAAGTGTCACGTTAGCACACGTCCAGTGTGGATGCTTCCGTGTACGATATAGATGCTGTGTTTTGTGGCAACAGCAACGCAATAGTAATATATCATATTTAAAAAAGACAGATTTGCATTTCTACTCTACATGCGATTGTAGATAGAAATGAAGACACACGTTTCAAACTCCCAGACACACAGACATGCAATTGGAGCTAATGAACCCTGCTGGACACTGGTACAGATATTGTAGCGGCCCCTCGGATCGATTGATCAAGACGCAGAGAGTTTCAAACGGGTGTTGATTTATTTCGTTTCTCTCGACGAGCACCATAAGCACCATGACGTCGTGAACACCTTGAACACCGTGAAAACTACAGAAACAGAAGAAATACACAATGCTTCTGTGTAGTTTCAACAATTAACTTATACAAAATAATGTTTACACTCGATACAGGTCATTTGAAATACTAGCCAAAGTGAAATAAAATATGTTTAAAACGCTATGACAAATAAAACATGCATCCTTCATACCTCAATCCGCTCTCCAAGGGCGCTAATCAAAGGAATTTCCTCCACCTGCTAGCATCTCGACACACCCTCATAATTAGGAGCTTTTTGAAATGACAGGTACCAACAATACAAAACAATGAAATAAATTACGATTTAAACTTTCTTTACATCATTCGAATGTATTTACAATACATAACTAATAAGTTTACAAGTTTTACCCTTGCTTCGACGATGCGTGACTTCCACGTTGCAAGTGATAAGTAGCAGGAAGTTAGCGTCACAAAAACATAAGAAGAAAAACGGCGCTTTTCAAAATAAAAGCAGAACGGACCTCGTTAACACATGAATAGAATATTGCGTAGGAGAACTGCAATTCAAATCAGACATTTACAGATATCACAACATCTCTCTCTGCTGTTTGTGTTTAGAAATGAGCAAATACCTGCAGCCCTCCTCATAAGAGTATCACTCCAAAAGGTTGAAAAAGTGAAATCTTAGCGTTAACGGATTGTTTAACCCACAGCGATGCTGGAAAATTGTGTCATAACGGTTTGGGGAAATTATTTTCTGATGCTGTCTGTATATATATATATATATATATATATATATTATATATATATATATATATATATATTATATATATATATATATATATATATATATATATATATATCACTTAAATCTCAACCAATTATTCATGAGTTTCAAAAGGAAAAGTATCTGAATTCTCCTGTCTGAATGAGCATGTTTATGCTCTGTGCTGCTCTGGGGAAAGACCACATGCTGCACCCATCACATAATTCTATGTCTGGAAGCATAAATAAATCATTGGGGCTTGTACTTTAAACTCGATAGGAACATAACAAATCAAACCATATGAATCAAAGTTGCAAAGAAACTTATTTAAATATAAATAGTTTTGCTATTGGCTTATTGAAGGGGATGGATGTTCCTCCAGGAGAACCCAGGATGGAACAAGAGCTTCTTGCTATTTTCTTTTCAATAAGGGACACTGCGAGACATGATGCAGACATGACGTAACCGTGTCAACGTGACTGTGGATTTATCCCGATATAATAAAAAGACAAATACGACTGAAAGTCTACAGCCGCAGTTACATTTGTTTGACTCAATCTTCAACGGGTATTTATCCAACCAATTTGCCAGCCTTGTTGGAAGATTTATGCTTTACAGTCAATATAGTCAAAAGGTTTTCTTTTCTTTTGTTACAATTGTTAGTTATTTTATTCTGATCTCAAACAGAATATGAGGGGGACTTTAAAATCTTATGCTACTTAAGGCTTCTAATTCATTGAGGAAAAAAAACATTCATATCCTCTATAACTAATGTGTGGATTCAGTTTACATTCCCGATATTTGATTGCCTTACAGAAGGCAAACTGATGGATTACACTAAAGCATTAACAGCACATAAAGATCCACTCGACTATCTCTCTCTCTCTTAACGGGAAAAACACTTCACCCGTCCGCTGTGGGATTTAAAAAGACCTGAATGGAGTCAATTTTGAAAAAGTCCGGCCCCCTTAACATTAAACTAAATACAGTGATGCGGTTGAAAATTATGGAAATGAACGCGGGCCAAAGCACCGCACTGTTTCCATGACTACAAAAAGCGTCCAGTATGATGTGCGTTGGCCAGGATTCAGATCCTGTGTTTATTTTACATCCCATCGCTCAACATCAAGGTGCTTTGCAGCTATAAAGACACTCTTTTAACAATGCTGACAAAGCTGCTTCTGCCTTATTATAAGTCGGCTTGCTGCCTTTTCGCGATGATCAAGACTGTGCATCGGTTGTGCATCAGTTGTGCGTGTTCTACACATCTGTATATTTAACCAGCACAGAACTAAGGAGAAGGGGAGGGAGAATATACGTGTTGATATTCTTATGTATGCCTCTCTTCTCATATTCCCCTTGTGTTACCATCATGTAACGTGGGTGTGTGTGTGTGTGTCCTGTGTCAACCTCAGGTGCCTGCTGTGCACACTGGATTTGATGGGTGCACGGAGGCGACAGGAAGCCCAGGAGCCGTGGCGGCTGGGGGTCAGTGGGGGACAGCGGGTCATTTTCTCTGAAAACACCTTTGTGGCAGCTAAAGGAGAATGTATCCGCTTGTTATTGATGTCATTAATATGTTATCAGGAAAGTGTACACAGTGATTATAGATCAGCGTTCACACACACACGACATCATGTCACTTTGCACAGATAATAATCATCCCATCTCGGTAATGCCAGAAGACATTCCGATAAACCAACGACACAACCGTAATGAAACAGGTTTTACAGAGTGGGAGTCAGAACGCTGCAGCGCGGGAAGAAAGTTGTTGCGTTAGAGTTTTTAATGGGATGACTGGTTGGGAGTTTCTCCCAGTGTTAGATTATAGGGTCGTTATTACATTCTTTTGCCTTTTGGCCATGATTGTGTGACCATCTTCCCTCGTGCGCTTCCTTTGCTTCCAACACCAGCGTGCTGCTCCTCTCGATCTCATTACGGCGTTCTTGCAAGTTCCATTAGCTTTTGAACCCAGAACTCCAACATTCCAGACGGGCTCCTCAACGTATTAAACAGCATTCATGTCGACTACCCAGGGCGGAGAAGGTTGGCTGCAGGAGGACCTGCTCCAACGTCGAAACAGATTGGGTTTGAAGAAAGTCGTTTGACAATTAACGGTCTTGCCATCATGGGTCTTCAAAGAAAATTACTTTCGTTATGAAAAGATTAGAGTTAAGTCCAATAATGGACAATTCATTTTTCATGACCCTCCAAAAGTAGTGATTGTGATTTGGGAGGTAATGAGATACTTCACTTGACAGGCATGTTGATTAAAAATAGTTTTATCTATTCAAGGTGGTGGCATTTACTGGAAACAGACTTGTCATTTCACTAGGTGGGCTGTCTTTAATATTGTAAGAAGAACAAGTGTTTGACATATGTCTGCTTTTTCTATGTCACCAGCAGCTCATTCTATCCGCTCTGCAATAGAATGTCTGAGAAAAAAAACGGTTTTCGCAGATAATCATTTAAACCGTTTCACATTTGTAGAGTCACATAAATGCTTTTTGAATCAGGCATCATCATCTCAAGTAGGTCAGAACTTGCTTTTCTTTTCAAAATGTGAGGTCATCTTCCACCACGTCTGTATATTTTGCCTCAATTTACTGTGTCTAACTAATGGGCTAATGAGGCTAATGGGTCCACTGTTGGGCTGCGTGAACGTTGGTGAAACAAAGCTCCCTTGGAAATAATAAGAAAAAGACAGACCAATAACACACAGCTGCACTTAACTGGCGAGGTTCTGCTCCTGAAAAGCTTGAGAGAGATTGAGAAAGTGAGACACCGGCGATACACAAAGAGTAGCACTTTCAGCACGAGGTCTGAAACAAGATAATGTTCGCATTGTGGAGGAGAGCAGCACACGCGTAAGGGGATTCCAGTGGGTCTCATACCTTCACACTCGTGAGGACAATGTCCTTCAAAGCGCCGCAGGAGGTCGCGACGGTCACGTCATGGCCGTCAGCGTCACATGACATCCTGACCGGGTGGGGCGGGGGGGGGTCACCATTCATTTGCTCAGAGTCCTCTCCTCTCTGCTGATTATTCCCATTAAAATGAGCTTTGTGTATTACAGAAACAATCCTTGTTTATATTAACATTTTTTCTTCACCAATAATAATCTCCAGTGAGCGTGTATCCTCTCTGTCGGTTCGGTGAGACGTGCAAACATTTGTGTATGAGAGAGGGGGGGGGTTAAAGTAATCAGTGAAGTGCTGACCCCCAGTGGTAAGACCCCCGAATGGCACAAAGACCACTCGTTACATCTCTGCCTACGTCGTGCTACTTCTTTTGCGAAGAATCAAGTCTTTTAAAAGGGACCGCTGGCCCTCAGCTGCTACACATTATTGTGGCCCCTGATGAAGTGAAGGTTGAGGTGAAGATGTGAAGCTCTGCAGACGGTCGGACGGTGATTCGTCGCTGGAGGGTCGATGTTGCACCGGCCCCTTTAAAAAGGCCTCTGGTCAAAAATCTCCCCTCATCATCTCCTCTGAAAGGAACATGGATGGGAAACGGATTGCAGAGACGTGGTACCCAATCGACCCCCCAGGGGAATGAAACCAATGAGGCAAAAATGCAGGTTTCAGCAATTTTCGGTGTTGAAATCGATGGACCTCGACGTCACTGATGATTAACGAGTGGCGCTTCTGCTGAACAAGCAAGACGACTGTGGTGCCGCGCGTCGTCCCGCTCGCCTCCAATCACCGGCCTGCAGCGCTCGCCGCTTAACCGTCACGGAGAGCAGCCATCAAAAACAAACTCAAACACACGGGAAGTCCCAATACTTGTATCTCTTTATTGAAATATAGTGGACCCCTGAGGCTGGATTAAAAAAGGCCACAGTTTGTTTGTGCCCCGTCTCGCTCCTCAGTCTCACACAGCCAGTTAGACACAACAGACTTGTCCAAAAAGACACAACGGACCTGTCGAAAACACACGTTACACAACAACTGGTGTGACAAGTCAAAATGGGGCTTTTGTAATCCAAACCCAAAGTTCACCCTCACATACGGACAACGTTTCAGGACGTACAAGACTCAAATCAATTGCATAACGTCAACAATACTTGGTGTTTATCTATCCCAAAAAATAATAATTCTCCAATACATGAAACAAAAGTGCTCAATTTAGCTCACATATAATCCAGGGTGATGCATTATTTTCACTTTTGGCATTTGTATTTGGTCTGCCGGAAATGTGAAGACAATAAATCAGCAGGTTCCTTTGTACCAGCCACGGTGGTTCAGTCAGAAAAGGGAACCATTTCATTTCAAAGTGTTTTGGACCTCAAAACCAAAGAGTTAAAGTCCACTAGAGGACACCTGCCTGGAACGTAAACACAGTCCGCTTTAAGAAATTGTATTGTGACATTTCTTTTAAATTTCCTTCTTCACTTTCTTACTAGTTAAATGAGAGGATTGACGCCGCAGTCGTCTCTAAACATGAAGTTGGCCTGTGAGTTGAGACGGGATGCAGGACAGTCTGGGAACATCTGGCTTGGCTTTGTCCAAAAAAGGTAGGAAACAATCTAGCGCACAAACACACAATTTGCATTGATTAAACGGACTAAACGAAACCTGCTCAGTGAGCTGTGGAGCTGCTGGTTGGCAGATATCGTGACACGGACAATCCAGCCGGTTCCCACCTTTACAGTAACGGTATAAGAACCACTGCCGGTTACATATTAGTATTTAAATACGCCAACAAAACGCTCAGCAACAAAGTGAAGAAGCACATTTTCCAAAAATTACACATCGAACAAAGAAACATTTAAAAAGTTACGACCGTTCCTGTTTGGACCCTTGTGTGACTTTGTTGAGGTCCTGCTGCTTTTACAGCTCAGGACCAAACGCTTCATACCGGGACTCCGAGTCGCAAAGAACTGAGGATGAAAAAAGAAACACGGTGTGTGTGTGTGTGTGTGTGGAGGAGGGGGGGGGGGGCTTAGCTTTTTGTCCAGGTCCGGGACACGCTGAGGTAACAGACAGTAATAAATTATTCAGTTGTTTAAAAAAAAAACAATTTGCAAGAATTATATGAATAATACAAAATGGTATCAAACATACACGATGCAACATTTTCCAACGCATTCTGTTTTTTTTTTGTTCCCCCCAGTGTGCTGCTCAGCGATCAGTCCTTCTCTGGAGACTCATTGAAAGTTCCTTTAAACGGAAGATGGAGATCAAAACCGATGCTCTCTCATTGAGGTTCATTTATTTTCCCCACTTTCATGCGGTGAATTTGTACGCCATTCAATAACGGAGAAACATGGAACTTTCAAACTATTAAATTCAAATCTATTTAAAATCGGTCACAGCGGTCGCCGAGGCCACAGGCATACACAGGCACACAGGGCTACAACGCTAACGGCCTCGCTGCTTGTTTTGTGATTCGAGTTTACATTCAAATTATTTTGACCGTGCCAGCTATGAACAGAAAACAAACACTGCCAATAGGAAAGTCAGAAATCGTATTAAAAGTGCAAAAACGTTTTCCTTCAAGAGACCGTATTCTTCCAGACAAATAAAAAAAAAAAAAAAAAAAAAAAAGTTGTCCACCGAAACTTTAGTGCGTTAACAGTACAAGCCATTTCATAGGTTATTAAATGGTACATTCCCGGCTGCAGACTGCAACATACCGAATGTCTTGTTGCTTTGAGCGTTTCCATAAACCAGCCAGGTAAGCAAGGCTTTAACCCCCGGGGTGAGGGGGGAAGGGGGGGGGGATTCCAGGGGCCACAGAATGTCTGTTCTCCTTTACCGAGCACATCTCTTGTCCTGAATTCAGCGCTGCGGTCTTAAATAGCCCCTTGATTTCAATAAAGTGACATCACATTATTTTGGTTAGTGGCCAGTGCAAATCAGCTTCTCCAGCCGGCTTCCAATCTGAAACACGAAGCGCTCGTTGTCCCTCATCTATTGGATTTCATCCTGCAGAGCTTTTGTAAAACAGCATTGAATTTGTTTACATCGCCACCTATAATTAAACTTTTTAATATCACAAATATAATTGTTTTGATTTCTTTACAGATTGAAAAAAAAAGAAAAAGAAAATTAAATTAGTTATAAAGACAGAATTCTGTTAAGACAACAGAAACCCAAAATATATCAGGGCTATTGTCCATATATACGGTGAAGTCTGCTCTCATTGCGCCATTGACAATGACTGAGGAGGCACCATGAATAAACCGTCCTCATTTCAAATCACTTGCTCGGTGTCGCTATGAGAAAATAAACATCTGTAAACATGGCCGCTGACACATGAGCGTCTGCTGTTACGCAACACACGCCAACCAATCTCTCCTTTACGATTCCCACGTGTAAAACACTTATTCAACCGGACCACAGCGCTCACCTGCAAACCGCTACGACACAAGTTCTCCACATCACGTCCTTCTCTCTCCTCTCAACCGACATTTCAAAACCAGAGCGTCACATGACCAAGAAGTCCGTCAGCCACGCAGCTTCTACTTTCCCCACCAAAAATCACCTCTGCAACTCTCCCCCTCTCAAGAACACCGAAGTGCCCACGCCAAAGCGAAGCCGGTCTCTTCCCCCCCGGTGGTCCACTGCCACATTTGAAATGAGATTGATGGGGTGAGAAAGCGTCCGGCGACACGGGAGTTCTGTTGAACGGAGATGGGAGGGATGTTTGCAAAAGGGGAGCATAAATCGAGGAGAGAGGGCTCAGCTTTCACTCCAAGCAGTCACTTCCGATTCACTCGTTTCCGCCGTTCGACGACCCTTCCGTGCTCCAGGACGTGCTGGGGAGTTCCCTGACACCCAAAAAAGGAGTGCGGGTGTGCGTTAAGAAGAGGGAGGTCACAATATGGCGCAGTGGAACCTGTGGGAACCCGCCGAGCGCTCGGCCCTCCACTTCATCTTCTTCTTCTTCTTCAGGTGCCGCTCTGGCACCTGTTGTCTGTGGAGATGGAAGAAACGCATTTACGGAGTAATCTTATGCTGCAGGTTAGATGTGAGACTTTAAGACCACATGGAAAGAAAATTATGAAGGTAATGTTGCTTTCGGAGATTCTTCACTTGCACTGCAAAGATTTAAAATCAAATACACATGCAGCATAACCCGACCGGCCTCATCCAACTTAATCATATAATATACATAAAAGAAAAGGAAATATCACATTCCTTTTAAGACTCTAGAGTAGTTACATGTTTGGCTTAGAATTGTTTGTCTACTATATGCAATAACCTTGGGAGATATTTTCAAAGTGGATGCCGTTATTAAAGGAATATTTAAACCTAATACATGCTAGTTTTTTTCTTGTGAGTGAGACAAGAAGACTGCAGTCAGAAAAAGGACAACCATTATGTCTCGATCCGCCTCCTGAATGACTGACTACAGTTTGACCACAAGAGGGCGACGTTCATCAACAGACTCCGACTTCTACAACTACCACAAAAGCAAAGAACGCTTCATAATGTGGATTAATACAAGATATGACAACATCCAAAACATGGACACAAATCAAATTCTTCTGGGATTACACGTCCAAAGACTGGAAACTCCTCTTCCTAAAAACACTGCATGCAGCAATCCTCTCCCTGTGCCACCAACCCCTTAAAGGACTGAAACACACACGGGGGGGATGCCGACACACCGAGTTGAGTATATTAGATGTTAGGATTTACGTATTTCGTTGTAAAATGGCTTCGACAGCTGCTACTGGAAGTACAGCAGTGTCACATTATTTACATGCAAATATGTTTTTCATTTAAAGAAAAAAAAAAATAATAATACAAGACCAAACAAAAAAAGTCAACTTGGAGTTACCTTATAACACGGACGAGCTCGTGAAAGGCTTTGTCCACATTCATTGGAGGATCCTTGGCACTGGTTTCAATATAGGTTATCTGAGGAAACAGACATTTGGTTGAATCTATAAGAGTATAAAAATACAGAATAGGGATACATGGTATTAATTACCAGCAACATGCAAAAGGTTGCCTGATGAGAGGAAACTAGAAGAAAAACCTATGAACACGGAACCGGTTTCCATGGCAGCACCAATTAAGAACTGAATTTACCCACTATCATTAAATCAACAGCTCCGAACAAAGGCTGAGACAGATGTTCCCTGAGTGGAGCCCAGCAGCCACGGAAATGAACGATGAATCAACAGAGTTTGATAACAGAGGGGGTGGCGGGGGGCGCAGGCACGTAAAAAGTCCCAAGATGTCATATCCGTGGAATGAAAAGGAGGCCATATGTTCGTGACGGAGACAGTTTCCTTCCGTCTGTGTGGACGGGATCCTCTCTGCAGGTAAGCACTCTCGATTAGCTTGACTGCATGCCCCCCCCCCCGTTAACCAAGAGACAGTTTGCTCTGTGAACTTTGTGATTTTTAGCTCCATTTTAGCCTCCAGAGAGCGATATCTTTAACTGGCAGCAGAGTATGTGGAGCTTCTGCAGAACCCGGGCATGAACTCAGAGATCACGTCATCACAGCTTGTGCTTCTCAAGCAGCGGAGATCCTGTGACGGCTGACGATTTACAGACTTAGTTTGCTTAATAAACAGGAGATACAATGCACTTAATTCTGGACAGGGCTTGTAGAAAGGTAATTCAACGGGTCCGTGAAGATGAGATCTGAGTTTACAGTTCCCCTTGACATCGTGGAAGTGGGTTCAATGGCCTTTTGCTGGCAACACACTTTGTCTTCTTGCTTCTTCAGGGACTTCTGGTTGGGAGAATTATGTAGCCCACAGCACTTTGGACCATAGTTTCGCTCCACGGTGCCACGAGTGAGCTTAAAACAAAGCTCAAGGGTCGGGGGCTGCGTGGCAGCAAAGAGACTTTAACACTTCCCCAGAGTTTCTTCATTTTAAATGCCAACATAACTGCATACGCAGCCAAGCCGTTACCATTATGCATTTTGAAAATGAAGACAGAAGCCATCACAGAGCATCTTGTCACATGAAGATTTGTCAGCTCATCAGTCTGCCCAGATCCACTTCCCAGGTGCCAGCTGTGGAGCCAGTTTCAGACGGTGAAGGAAGAGCCGTCTTCATGTTGGAGAGCTACATTTCTAAATGGCGTGATATATATAAATTAAGTTTAAATGAACAAACACTACTCACGTTGTGTTTAGCCGCCATCTCTTGGCCCTGGTCACCGGTGACTTTTCTCAGATGGACCAGGTCCACTTTGTTGGCGACCAACACCATGGGGAAGGCCTCCCTGCAAAGAAAAGGACAAACGCACAATGCTAGGGAACTCCGACATTGCATTTCCAAACCACCTGCAGTAGTTTCAAAGAGTATTTCCGAAATCCTCTCGGGCTCTGAGGACGATTTCAAAGACCTGATCACCAGCGTCAAACTGTCTGACGTGTCATATTTCTGAAACACTCGACTCTCTTGTAGAAAAACGAGCTAGAGCACAACGCCACGAAATATAGATATATACGGCTCATGCTCATATTCCAGTTTCTATTTCTGTAGCATCGCAACCTTAGTTTCATTGGCTACTGTCGGAGAACAGATGAATCTCTTCTCTCACAGCTGACATTTCACAACACTACCGATTAGACGCTTTAGACACAAATCTTGACAGTCGGCCAAATTGGTCTGCAGCTTGAGGAAAGTGGACGCCATTCTGATGCTGAACCAAGACACTGCTGCCTGTCAAACCACGATCTGACGAGTCAAATGGAGGTTTAGCCTTGCGTGATGAATATTCATCTATAACTGTAGCAATGCCCTTGTTATTGTCACCTACCGGTCTTTGACCCGTAGTATGAGTTGGTGGAATCGGTCCACATGTTCAAAGCTGGCCTTGTCTGTCACGGAAAAGACGATGAGGAAGCCGTCCCCTGTCCTCATGTACTGCTCCCTCATCGCGCTGAACTCCTCCTGACCGGCTGTGTCCAGCACTGCCAAGACGAGGGACACAAAGGTGTTACTCTATGGAGGGTTCTCCCTTATTCTGACTCTTTCATTGAAAAACAAAAACACGGTGACGCAGCGTTTTGAGATGGACCTTAAGCATTTAGTGCGTTGTATCTTCGAGTAGTAAGCATACAATTTAAATACTATCAAATCTATGGAAATGATTCATGTCCTTTTCAGTTGTTCGGTCATAAGTTGGTAAATAGGCATTTCATTTTTAATTTGTATCGCACCGCCACACGACTTATTCAAGACTTCTCAAAGCTACAATGGAGAGGGATTTAAGTCAATATTTGTTGAACTCTTAACCAAAAGCATTGAACAATGAGATTCAACACACAAACTCTGAGTGTTCAATGTTTAATTGAAACCAAAAGAAAAAGATAAAGTCCCCACTCACCGTCCAGTATGGCCCACTGTCCGTCGATCTCTGTGTGTTTGAGATACGAGTCCTCTATCGTGGGATCGTAGTCCGGCACAAAGATCTTCTGGAAGAATTGGATGGTGAGGGCACTCTTCCCGACACCACCATCCCCCACCACCACCAGCTTGTACGTTGGCAGGTTGTCACTTGGCAAGGCGCTGGTCGCCATGGCTACCTCAACAGCTGTGGTGAAGGTGAATAGTAGCTAGGTAGCTGGCTGGGGACACGCACCTGGCTGAAATGGAGGACAAGGAGAGCGATAGGGAAAGAAAAACAGAAGGAGAGAGAGAACAAGGGAGGGAGGCGTTATGGGTTTTTTTGTTCCAGCTGCTTTTTCATCACCATGGAGACCAGACCACAGCTAGAAGTTTTGGATCAAAGCAATAACAGGAGGAGGGGAGGGGAGAGAAGGAGTGGCCTGGAGAGAGGGTTCAGCACCCGTTAAGCCTACCTAAACCCATTTCAAAGCTGCGGAACAGAAACTCAGAGTGTGACTAGTTACTTACAAAGAAGCTGATCTTTATCCATGATGCCCTTTAGTAAGGTCAGTTTTACATCTTATGGGACGACAGTATTGCTTCGAGTCTTTATGCCATAACAGTGCAGAAATTAAAGTAGAGCAGAGTTCTGTGACGTGAAGCGACATAAGGCCCACTAGACCTAAACGAGTAGCTTTTTGACTAAATTACCAATACGAGTTTTATAAAAAGGCTTTTATTGTGAACCAGCTACATGAAACACAGCCGCATTTGTGATCAAGATTGGTTTCTACAATAGCAGTAAGCTATTGTCTTTGATTTTCGAAAGCTTGCCCGTTGGTAAAAAATAAAAAACAAACATTAAATAAAAGCAGCAACCGCAATAAGACAGGTATCGTACCAGACCACGCGTACTCTTCGCGCGTGTCGTTTCGCCCGATGCCACCGGCAGCAGGAACTAGACTGATGACGTTGACTCTCAGAAACCCGGTAGAACCGCAGAACCAGCAGGGAAATATGATGGCTTCAACATACCCGAGAGCTGCAGCTTGTAATTATGGCTTTTTGAACACTAAAATAAATCTCCATCCTACTGAAATACAAGAGGTTTAACAGAGTATTTCTTTCCCACGTAAACACAATAGAGTATCAGAAACACGTAACCCTTCAAACACATACGATTAAGATCTTTTTAAACCTCAGGGAGAACAGCTTGTACTGCTCTTTAAAAGAGTTTAAATAATTATGGCCAATGAAAGGAGCTTTAATTGGTTTCCATAAATGCACTCCTATGCCGCGGTTGCATTCAGCTCACACCCCAGAGGGGGCTGCAGAGAGATGGAGTCATGCGAGGAGAGCAACAGTCAAACAGAGAGCAAGCGAGGCCACGCGGGGACAGGGTTGATGAAAACAACAACATGGTGGAATATGGACCACGCACACCTCGGTGTGGACGTGGCCACTACGGGACTACATACAGCTGGAAGTTGAATTGTCAAACTTAAATAAGGCGAACCCTTATAGACTTAGTAGTGCTGAGGGCAATCGTTTGAGTTTTTATGAGTCACCATTTCGTGCACGTGCGCCCCTCGTGCACGCCTTCGAGAAGGCCCACGGACACAAAACACATTCCTGCGGACGGTTCCACCGGACAAGCGAACGTACACCAATCTAGATTTAGAACATCGATATATGTGAAAAGACATTTGAGGAAGGAAATGCATTCACCAATTTTGTAAGGCCGAGAGGAAGCACCGAATTGAAATGTATGACACTAAAAAGAACTAAAAAGGTACCTTTAAAAAGCCATGCAGAAAAAGAGACCTACATAATAATTGCATTTCATATCAAGCTAGTTTCTAATTTTGGTTGAGCAGACGCTATATATGCTGATACAACTATTCAAACCCTCCACAGGGGTCCGCTAATATATTGAAATCAAACTAATCGACTCCACCTTACTGTGATTCCCTCAGCTAGCGATTCTTTATCAAATTGTAGCAGTCAGAGGAAAGCACATTCACACACAACCAGCACCACAACACCACCCACGCACCCATTCCTTCTTCATCCACCAGGAAACAGCTGTCAGCTGGCTGCAGTCCATCCTTTCCTGCCCAGCACAATAGAGGGAAGGAAGATGTTTGCTTCCTTTCCAAAACAAAAAAACAGCCAGCCAACCAGTCAGTCTGCAGCAGTCAGCCAGGTTGGTCAAATGAATTCTTGATCTTAAAAGTTGTGACAACCTTGAATAGAGTGTCAGTATTTAGTTGCTCTCTGAAACGCCACTCACTGTTCTGCGGGCGTAAAATAACCCAGACACCAGTTTAAACCATATTCCTTTGTGGGGTGGAAATTTGGTCGAGCCGCTGTCATTTCATTCATTTGATTTGTCCCCAAGTTAGTCATATGTTCGATGTAGCTTCACAAAAACTGGTGTTTCATAGAGGCCGACCAAGGTTGCGGGAGGACTTACTTGCACAATCGTACAAAACACTTCACACAAATGCCAATGAATACACATCCTTTCAACAGATCTGGCCTTTCAGCAACACTTAGCTGGTGTCCCCCCCCCCAGACCACTGAGCTGTAAGAAAACCCAGATAAAACATCAGTCTTGTGTACTAGATGGAGCTTGTCAGAGGCACAAGTACCTTTATGAAGATTATTACACATTAGAACATTAATAAGAAGTTAATGTGAATGTATTGTGTCAATAACCGGTCATGTGATTTGATGGAATAGTAGTCAGTGACATTAATATCACTCTTAATTGAAATGACTCACACAAGGGTCACTTGAGACATCTAGCGGTCAGCTTGCAGATTGCAGCCAACTGAAACTTCTCCCACAGGCTCTACACGGGGAAAAGAACCACGAATGGCGCCTGGTGGAGTCCGTTTGGTTTGTCCTGTAGAAACATGGAACACTAATGTCAGGACTCTCTGGCGTCAACGTCCTGCACCATATCAATCCTCCACAGGTGCGTGCTTTCACATGCAAAACAACGGAAGCAGCTGCTGCGTTCTGGACTCCATACAGCCTCTCTGGGCCCTTGAGAAGCGGTTTGTTGCCTCCTTGGGAAAGGATTTAAAGAGAAAAGAGAGAAAAAAAATGCATCTCCCTCTTCACATGGGAACAAAGCAGCAACACATCTCCCAGAACAGGAGTAAGGAGGAGCTCAGCAGGTCACACCCCGGTCTGGACGTCACACAGGCAAAGTTCAGCCGGCTCAAGAACATTAGCCACCAGCCAGTAAAACACATTCCTCTTTGTTTGAGAGAACTTTGATTATAGGTTACCTTACGGTGTTAAACCCGTTGCACAAATTGCACCAGGTTAACCAGAATATTAAAATTGTTAAACCCTGATGCTTCGCTGGCTGGTTGTGTCAGCAAAGAGAAAGTGATGATTTGCTTTTCTAAAAAAAAAAAAGGACCCCTATGAATCAGATCACATAAGTCACATTTCTGACGTAATGTTATCGAGTTTCTATTAGTCGTACTTCTCTCCCATTACGGTGAGCTGGACGGCCTTCTGAAGACGCTTTTAGACAACAGACGATATTTGCGATCATCCCGATAAAGGGAATTCACAATGATCAGATCGAGAGATTTTTCTTCAATAAAATCCTATGATGTCCCAATATCCAACTCATGCAACCCTTAACTATCCCACCGTACTTGCCACCATGGCATGAAATGTTCCTCAAATATTTTTGTGTTTTCCTCACAAAACAATAGGACTTGATGGATGACGACGAACATCTGCTCCCCACAAGAACAAAGTCAATCACTAAGCAAACGTGACTTGCACTGACGTCACTTACCTTGACAGCTGCTCACATGAGCGTGGGTCATCACCAGTGACTAACCTGCCAGAGTCTGTGGATGTCACTTGTGGGGGGAAACTTCCTACTCTGACGTTTCCATTCATTAATTCAAAGCGAATACTTGGGGCGGTTGAAGGGATTGACAACTTCAACCAGGACACAGGATGTGTGGATGCGTCAGCCACTACCAGGCACCAGTGACACAACGAGGACGTTACACTACTCAATGTAGACCACATTATATTAAATCATCTATAAACTTGATTATAAAATACTTTAGCTATTGTTTGGTTTCTCATGTATTCATCCAGGTCTGGATCATGCTCTGGTTGACACTTAACCAGAGCATGAAAATGGACAACACCACTTTTCTGCATAGTAGGTCAAGCTGTTTGACTCACTTTGACAGATCAGAGGGGTCACCTACACTGGGTTAGACGTCTTATACATCAAAGTGAGAATTTCAATGTCAAATTAATCAATATTTAATACCGAGCAGCCTAATATTACCAGGCCCCGTGCAAATGTAATGAGACGCACACAAGGAGATTTCCCCTGGTCCAAAAGGTCCCAATTAAATGAAATTGCATGGAAACGTCAGCCTACCATTACTCCTCTCGCGATCGTTGCGATATTTCCATTGAGTGATGGAAGGATAAAAGGGGTGTCTGTCCCCTGACAACCAAATGATCTGGGGATTTTCACTTAGTGATTAACGAGAGAGCCAGAGAGAGAGAGAGAGAGAGAGAGAGGGTCTCTTTCTGCAGACTGGGGAGCTTCTGAATGATCTCATCCTATGATTTGACACATGAAGAATCTCTCTGTTCTCTCCGTCCAGCGGTTACATCTGCACACCACATCTGGCCCACGGTGTGCTCCACTACACGGGGTGCATAACGTTACGAACAAAAATTGGTTAAAAAAAAACAACAACGCAAAAGCACAGTTCGTTTATGTCGTCCCCATGGGGAAAATTATTGACACACACACACACACACACACACACACACACACACAGGCAGGGCCCGTCTGTGCGCGTGTCCGTGCGTGAGCGGCCGTGTGGAAAAACCGACAGAAGCCGCCCCTTTAAAAATAACGGACCGCGGTCGCCTCTTCGCCCTCTTGAAGTTAAAACGTTCTCCGTTTTTTCCACCAACCGGACCCGGTGTTTGACACCGTGAATTACAGCGGGACGTGCTAACGTTACCCCCCCACCTCCGGCTCGCGGGGCTGTCATCGGCTCGCGGGCCTCGATGCCCCCCCGGGAGAGAGCGGTCGGTTGCCGTTAGCTAAAAGGTGCTCTGCCTCCGCCGTCCGCGAGCACACGGACGCCCGCGTTGGAGACCTCTCCCCTCCTCCCCCTGTCAGCGGGGAAAGCCACTCACCCGATAGGAGTCCTTTTTGTTTTGGGCTGTCGTGGAGCACGAAGAAAGAAAAGAAAAAACACGTCCTCACGCCGACATATTCCTCCTCATCTCGCTGCCGCTCGGCTTCAAACCGCCGCCGCCGCCCTTTCGCCACAGCCGGGAGCGCGCTGCCCACATCGCCGGAACAATACGTTGAATAGCTAATCTTTGTATTGCAACAGCTGATGCTATAAATAGAAACGCCCCAGAGGGGGGGGGCTAGTATTTTTTAGGAAGAGGCCGAAACAAAAAATATCGTTTTTTAGTGTTATGTGATATCCGTGTTGGAGAGAAATGACGAAGTAACGTGTTTATTTCCCTTCCTGGTGTATTTTTTTGGGGGTAAACATTTTATGATCTCACGAATCAAAAAGAGACTACCCCTTTTAGGTGAAATGGACTGTTCCCTTTTTTAGACAGAGGACTTCTTTAAAGGGATAGTATTTATATCGTGGAAACCTAGTCATTATAATTAAATAATAGAGCCCATTTTATTTAAAAATGGACGTTTGCTATAGTATAAGCAACACCTGAAGCTCTCATCAAAGATGTTTGAGAGATTCACAATTACGTTTTGACATTTTTAACATACTCTAAGCAACAGGTGAAGGTTATACAAAGTATGCAAAAAAGTGAGGCTTGAACAAGTCACATTTTAGTTTATTTTATTTTATTTATTTATTTATTTATTGAGCATTTATTGAGTATTTCTTTAGCGTTCTCTCTTTCCAGGAGCTTGCCAGGTTATTTACATTTTCTATAAATACAAAGTTTACGTATTTGGATAGTGTAGCCCTGTGATTGGCTGGCGACCAATCCAGGATGTACCCTGTCTATCGCCCGAAGTTGGCTGGGATGGACTCCAGCCCCCCCGCGACCCTGTGTGCAGGATAAGCGGTTTGACGATGGATGGATGGACGTATTTGGATATATTTGGATGTACGTTTAATTGGGCGCATGCATGAATGTATATATGCACAATTACATGCAACCATCATCATTTCTGAGGAACCTATTGTACCTATTGTAATTTATTTCTCTCCCATAGTGAGAGATACATTTTATAACTAAGAAAACATTTTCCGTGTAGGGATTTACATGTGCAGTAAATCTGCTTGTACCTGGCTGAAGGTCTGGGAAGAGGGAATAAAGAAAGTCACTATTGATTGTTGTACGGATTAAAGACTGGTGATAAATTACTGCTGAGCAGTCAGGTTCCTTTGCCAGCATGATGAGTATACATCTGGAGGACAAACACTGAAACTAACGGACGCTCATATCTCATGAGATGTGATGTATTATTTAGAAACACAGTGTTGATAATGAGTGCACACATGTTCAGATAGGCAGAAATCACACACACGCGCACATTCGTCCACATTACCGGAAAGACTGTTTATGATGTAGCAGTCCATTAACACTAAGAGGTGTGTGTGTGTGTATGTGTGTGTATTCATCTGTGTGCGTGTGAGAGATAGTGAGTGAAGATGTGAATAATTCAATTGAAAAGCGGAAGAGGGAGCTTGCTAGGAGTTTTACCTCTGTAAATAATCCAGACGTAAGGCATTTAGAACTCAGGTTACAGAAAATGATATTGGAGATGAAATTCTGTCTCTCTCTGTAGGATTGTCCAGTTTTTCCAGGAAAATTATTTTAGTTTACAAAGCGTGTGCAAATACATACACACATCCATGCTTTGTAATTATTTTCATACTCTTTGTGTGACCTTAACATTTCTTCCATTTTAGAACTGGATAAGTGCACCTTGCACCAATTCAGCCTGACCGAGAAATAGAGTATACCGACCGATTTGTGTCCCCGTGTACTAAACCAATAGAATGCACCCCTGTAGCCATGGATAAAAAGCTACCATGTACAGCTGTAAAGATCAGACTCCCCACTCACTGTTCCAATGTAATATCAGAATTTAATTTGACCTTTCTTAACATTTCTCCAGGCATGGGTATGGGATGGATTGTCAATAAGAGGTAAACAGAATGGATACAGTTCATAACAACTCCTCAATGACGCGTTTCTTTCTGTCCATGTGGCGTCACAAGACTGACCCTGTTTGATGTAAAAACACATTGATTTCTCCTTTGGAAGACTTGTAGTAAGCAATCAAGAGGTGGTGAATCGATTGACCCGGTTACTGATTCATTCATCCATTGAGTGGTCACCACACTGGATTGGACAACAACTTGATGGAATCTTAATTTGGGAATTGATTGCTTTGTGTCGCCTGCGTAGGTCCTTGTTTTTTCCAGATGCTGGAGGCGTTTTGAGGGCAGGGTCGGTGAGAGTGAGCTTCTCTGATGATGCTTCTTCACCAACAGTCACGGCAAGGTCAATGTCCATGAACACGGCACTAGTGTACAACTCAAAATAAGTTAAATACTGTACGCTGATTTAAATCTCCATGGAGCACAGGGTGATGGTGCAAGAGGTCGGTGACACCAGTATCAGCTTTTTCATCACGCAATTTAACAATGTAGAAGGCAGGAACATTTGTGAAATGCTTCCAGTTCATCGCAAGACCGACATAGATGATCGTCTTATCATTTGTGATCGACAGCTGATAATAGAATAGAATACAGTAGAATTGGGGAGTCTATTTCCCTTCAGAGACACACATATTTCACAGAGAGACACACACACTTCCGTCGCCTCTTGCCTGTTTCCATGGTGACAGCAGGGAGCTGTTTCTTCACTTGAATCATACCGTCTGACTTGATCCCGATACATATGCACACACACGCGCGCAGTCACATACACTGCAACGAGAGAATTGTTCATTTTCTTTGATCCTAAAATGACTGTGTGTCCTACATGGGCAGCATCACTACATCTACAGGGTTGTGTAAGTGATGCACCGTCACTTCACAGGTGTCATGAAGACGACCGTGTGAATCTGGTCTGCTCTGTTTGAGGGTCTAGCTTTCCAGATTGTGCAGAATTTGTTTAAATGTGTCAAATGAAAAGCCTACTTTTTAATATTTTTAATTTATTGAAAATATATACTGCAAGTTGGATAGCAGTAAACTGAGCTCAAAGAATAGAGGATGAAGGCTTGAGAGGATAAACTATATTATGCTATTACGTCACAGGCATTTTTGCATCATTAAACTGTTTTGTAATTGTCATTTTAAAAACCTCTCCGTCACTTTAGTTTGTCGTTTTTGTCTCCAAATGCTCTTGTGTAGCGCAATTTTGTGTTTTATTTCAATTTTGGTGAGACACACCTCTCACAATATACATTTACTTCTCCATTCATCTGTATTGCTGTCCTTCTGTGTCCGTAATTACTGAATTTCCCCACCGGGAATCAACAAATGTTTATCTCATGAAGACTTTTTATTGAGAATTTGTGAATTCCACAAATAAACAAAAGGAAAAGAATAAAAATGCTGTTTTTCAAAAAAGGATCATGTGAGGAGTATCACAGTTGATGGGTTTAAAAAAAGACACGCACACACACTGTATGTGCTCAATGTGTTTTTGGGCTGTAAGCATACACATTCTCTAGCAAGGGTGTTAAGCCACCCGACCTCATTACACCAGCTCTCCTAACCAGCCCCCATGCTAACTTGGCATTAGAACACTAACATTCATCACAGCCCCATATTCATGAAAACCCTCAGAATATAAAACATCTTTAGGTTTCAGCCGGTGCACATTGCAACCCTACTTATTGCTATTAGAAGTGAAGACAATAAGATCTAAGATCTAAACTACTGTCTTACAGCATTGCTTTCACTTCCTCCTCCACCTCAACACCATCACCATGTGTGCAGCCCGTCAGCACATTGACATCAGCTGTTTTATAGCCGGTTCCACCTTTCATTTGCATCCCGTGCGTACGCACCAAGCTCAGCCATTATAGCTTAACAGCAGCTCCTCAAAGGAAACACACATCGTTTCAGATCGCCCCTTCCCCTTTTTTAAAAATTTGCATGGGATTGTGTGACTTGGTCTAGACTCCAGAGAAATTTGGCGTTTTGAACATGCAGAACTACACCCACTACTGATGCATGCAGAACTACACCCACTACTGATGCATGCAGAACTACACCCACTACTGCAGCAGCCAGGGTCTCTTTAACAAATGTAAAATATCAACGTAACTGAACGAGCCTTCTGGCCTAAGGGCCCAAAATGACCAAAAATAAGTATAAAGCGACACAAAGAGATACAAAAATATCTACAAAAAGGGGGAAAAACAGCCCTATACAGACAGAAAACCACAAAAGAAGATGCATGAAGGCAACAAAAATAGACAATACAACATATGGGTTTTATTTAATTTCTTAAATTTTGTTGTTGTCTATTTCACAAAATGAACAATTTAGTTTCATGTTTAATGGGAGTCGAGGGAAATCTTCAATTAATTCCGGAGTACAGCTAAATTCTTGCTTGGTTTCCATACATGAAATGAATAAAGACAGTTATCCAGTGTTACCAATTTTTACCAAATTTACCAAAATGGATAAATGAATAACTAATTGTAGTGTACTGTTCTCTCCCACACTAAAAACAAAGAAATAGTGCGTTCAGATATTTGTTTTAGTAGAATATTCAGTACGGCTTTTATTATTTTCTTCGGATAAAATGTTATATTTTAAGATTGTTGTTCAGGAGCAACAGGGGAAGGAAGAATAATCCCATCCCTCCATCCTGGGTTTCCAAAGCACATTCACACTTGTCTCTGCAAACGTTCACTCCATCCCTCATTCACTCCAACGGAATCCTGATTAAACAACAAAGTCAAGTGTGTGTTTTCTGCTTGATTCCAGCTCGGGTCGATTTGAGCTGCCTCGCAGGTCAAAGTTCACTTTTGTTTTGATGCATTCAGCGCTTAAGAGAATCTTGTTGTGTGCCATTCCAATACATGTTGTACAATATCAACCTAGGAGAGTGCATTTGTTTTATTCATCTTCATTTGATGGAGGGAAAATTATGACGTTGAGAGGAAAATCAGATAAACGTCAGCAGCACCAAATGCTTGAGTGAGCAAAGCTTTGAATAGCTGCAGTTCCTCTTCCGGTCCCTTTTGAAGTGAATACAACCTGTTACTTTAAACAGTTTGCATAATATCAGTGGAAAGTATTTTCGGCTGATGGGAAGCTTCTGTACTGAACGTTACAGGGAAGACTGTCAGAAAGAGTAATTCTCCACTCTCCTGTCCTCAACAAACACTCCATACGGAGGATACAGAGCCCCCACCCTCAGGTAAACACCGCCCGGTCAGCACTTAGCGCTCTCAACGCTGTTGGCGGCAACCTGGCGCCTCAGCTGTCGCCATGTTGAGAGCTGTTGAGAGGCATCAGATGTGCTCCTGAGGGCAACACTTTATTTTCCAATATACCCTACAGGAGGGAACATGTACACAAAGAAGAACACAGATCAATTTAGTACTTTATTTATCCCAAAAGGAAATGGCAGACATGTCACACATGAACACAACGTCCCTGAACTAAGTAACAATAAAACACTTTAAACTGAAAATGATTTGTGAATTTATAATATATCTTATTACAATGCGTGAAGGTCAACGAGGTAATAGGTGAAATCGTATTACTGCATTCCAACTTTGCAGGGCTCATTAAAATGACATCATTGATACTTGGTTTGAAAGGTCATACCTGAAGAAGCCCCTCAGTCCCAACTTTCATGCAGAGATGAAAAGTTGGTTTCTTTACGTGCAGACAACTCCTAGACAAACAATAACAATTTAATTATTACATATTGTATTTTGTATTAATACATGCCAGAAATGCTGCTCTACGTTTTAAATATTCAGTGCACCTGATTTCAACACCTTCTCTCTCTCTGAATACAGCTGCTGCGGCTGCTGTCGTAAAACTGTCGTGCAAACACGACGACAGCTGATCGCTTTACGGACAGGGTTTGCTGTCATGTAAGAAGCTCTGCTGCCCTTGCAGGGATGTGGAGAACATGTGAGTGTAATGAAAATGATTTGTATGTTTGTTGTTGCTATAAAGCAGCAGTATCTGCTGTTCTGAACTGCGACGTGTTTGCAGTCAGAGTTTAACCGTTAAACCGGTCGCCGCATTTCCTTATTGGGTCGGTTAGCAAAATATTAGATAAACAAAGTTATCGACTTTACAAGTCCAGCGTGAGTTTAGAGCAGTACAGCTGGTTACCTGAACTTTTGGGGCTATTCTAGTTCTCTTTTCTCTTGTCGTTAGCGACGTTGAATGCCGAGAGATTGTGTTAACTTAACGTTAGCTACTGCGCAGTAGTTATGACGTCATCGCCAACGTCATCTGCTCTTCAAGCTAAAGCAGGAGATCCATTTTTATTTAAACTCAGCCCCATGGAATCAGACCGAAAAGTCAGAAAAGCTTCTTGAACAACCGTTGATGACCAGGAAAATGGTTACATATAAAGCATACAGATGTTCAATGTTCAATCATCACATACAGAGTGATGATCGACTTCTAACTTCTACATTCCCCCCCATCATCCCGTTATTGTTGCATCCGCATTTCTTTTAACATACCTGTCTGTTGGTATTCTTAAGTATTGTCTGCCTCCTTCACAGATGCCTCCTATTGACGTCTGTGGCCCTCAGCGGATGCTATATCGTTAACAAATACCCCCATATGGCGTCTAACTACCTCAAGTATGCAGTGCTGCTTCAGAAGTACAGGACGCCGCTGCTTGTTGCGAGCTGCGGCGGGGTCTTTGCGGCCAACATGTTCTACCATGCTTGCCCCGACATCTCCTACCGTCAGCTCTATCAGGCCTGGTCCAAAGGAGAACCGGTCGCGCTGTCCGAAAAGCTGGAGGACGTTTTCCAGCAGGTAGTTTTGTCCAATCTTCCTTCAAGTTTACGGTTAACAACAGTTGTTTAACTAACTAAACTTCGTACAGTTGCTTGCAGATGGTTCAGGTGAGATAAAAGACCCTAAAGGGTATTCTATTTTGAAATTTAGTTCATTGTCAACTCTACCTAAATTGTAGCAATAACCGTTATGTCATCAGGGTTACTGAAATTATACGGATCCAGCGAAAATCCAAATTCCAATGCTGTCGTCTGCAGGTGCTGAAGGACTACGGAATCCACTCACCCAAGAACTTCTCCGCCTTCGCCTCCTTTGGGTTTCATCCGGTTGGTGCCGGTGTCCCTTGGCTCCCCGCCGGAGCCCAAATCGGCATCCCAGCAAACTTCAACAGCACGCCCGACGACACGAGCGGGATCACCAACCGCACCATCTACATCAACGGCAAAATGGTGGACTGGAGCAGCGACAGCGGCGCGGCTCTGCAGCAGAGCCTGGTGTTCTCCCGCGATGCGCAGAGGTTTGCCGTAGCACGAGAGGTGGCCCGCTTGCAGTCTGGAGGACCCGTGTTGAGTGCTGCCGTCGCCCCGCTCTGCCTGGGTGGCGTTTGGGTGTACAGCGTACTGATGAAGCAGCTGTTTGGCCTCCACGGCGGCCCTCCGCTGCTTCGCGGCGCCGTGAACGTTGTGGCGCTGGGCGTGGGGGCGGTGTCCTACTTCCTCTCCTCGGATGCCGTCAGCCAGTGGGTCGACTGTAACTCAGACCGGCGAGCGGCGGGAGTGTCCCGGGATTACGCCAAAGGAGGGGTGGAGTTTTACGATAAGATTCTGTCCCGAAACAAGACGCTGCGTTCCCTGATGGGGCAGAAGGGAGAAGAGATGTACGCCCTGAGCGGGAACCTGTTTCCTGCTCACATCTTTCAGCTGAAGCACACGCCGTACACATCCAGGAGGGACGGGATCCTCACTCTGCTGAGAGAGGAAAAGGCTTAAAAAGTCCCCTGATTGCATCTGATGAGCTTTTTTAGATTTAAACGTCATGTTTATTTGAATACCTAATGGGGGAAAAAAATAAACATTTCTGAAACCTGTTTCAGAACAAGTGATAAAATATTTATTGTCGAGTGAATCATGAAACTTAATCCATATTATCAATACAGAAGCTCTACTGCCACCTGTGCTTTGCTAAAATGAACCTCAGTATTAACTTATTCCTCTCAGGTTACAAATAACCTCAAAGGAGAGTAAAACTCTCTGTAACACATAATTTGCATCACCCAACTAATAATCTTAATATGCAGCTTGTTGCGGCTCAGAAATGGTCCCCTTAGGTCGTCTGTCTGCATATTAACACGGTTCAGATATGGTGTTTTAATTAAAGGTTCCATCTTTACCCCGTGGGCTGAACTAATGATGGATGCATATAATTAATTGGGTTGTGGACAGACATACTGGGACTTTCTACATCATTGTCCTTAGGTGGACCGGGCCATATATACACGTTAAGTGGAATCTACAACCCACTGTGTTTTCCTTCAATGGATCGCTAGATTCAAAAGAAAAAAGGCGAACATGTGGAAATCAAATGTGGACATAAAAGCCCTCAGACGGCAGACCGGGTGGAGCAGAGGGACTGTTTCTAATCAGCACAGCTCTGGTTCAGTAATCTCTGACGAGTCAGACTGCCCTTGAGCAAGATGTAGAATTTCTTCTAGATCCACGATTATGCAGCAGATTGTTGCCTTCATAAAACCTGCATCCTTCATCAAGAAATGCTATGAAAATGCTAAGAAAATATATATTTCCATTGCAAAGTAACCCGTTTGTAACATTGACGAAACAAAAATCAATGAATTCATAGTTTATTAGGAAAAAATGAAGGTATTTTTTAGGTCTCCTGCATCAAATCCCCGACCGTAATGGGTCTTTTGGGATATGCAGATCAACCACACTGTGCTCATTGTCTCGTCCTCACCGCTCCGCTTCATCTGCTCACTTCATTGTATGCCAAACAGAGTCACTGTACAATGGTCCATTGTTAGTTGTGTTCTCGGCTGTTTTTTTTTCTCAAGCCACTTGAGGTCAGTACAGCTCTCTCTCTCAGTACTCGTCACTCTCTTCTGCAGTGTCTCATGAATGACGGGGCTTCGCATTCATTCGGTCTGAATGGACAGGCTTGGACTTGAAGTGAATGAGAACAAGAAAAAAAAATGTTCACTGTCACTTTTGTTTTTACACGATTTATGGCATAACTTTTAGACAAGTTATGCCATGAGATAAGACATTACATTACATCTACATTACGATCTAGATACAATCCAAGTGTGTGTGTGTGTATGCAAGTTACAGTAGCAGCCGTAATATTAATTACATACATTTCCCCTGCCATCATCATCTGCAAACACTGTAGAAAAAACAGTTGAGAAAATGTATTCAAACTAATTTTATTCTAGAGGGCTTTTATGGGAAATAGGAAATCAAATTATATATTATTGTTTGGTAGGTAGTGGGCTTTACCCTTACGTAATATGTTGGACCTATATACAAAAATAAAGCTTTCAAAGTACATTCAAGCTACACAATGATCTCACACACCAGAATATATGCAAACTATGGTGATATTGGGTCTTGGACGAACTGAAATAATTCAACTTATTCTACCCGAGCCGCTCGGTGGCCCCGCCCCTTAACCCCCCCCCTCCTCCGCGCTCGCTTTGCGCCATTACGTCGCTGCTGCGCTGATCGCTGCTGAGCTGCGAGGCAGAGCAGCTGCAGCGAGACCAGAGGACGCTGACAACAACGGAGAGTCAAGAAGCGCAACGTTTTTCACCCATTCCCTCTCCACCGCTGTCACGTCTCCTTTTACTGTATTTATTTTGGTTATAACGCAAGCGCACGGATATATATATACATCTTTTTTTTTTCATTCTCTCTTGAACCTGAAATGACTGCCAGTCGCCGCGTCTAGCCAATGGTTACTGCGGGGGCTCCTGTCGTGTGGATTATCCGTCGTCGCCGAGCCAGTCGCATGGTCGAGCCCGGAGGAGGCCCCGCTCCGCTCTGGATGGACGGACGCGCGTGAGGCGGCGCTGGACTCCGAGTGCTGGTGAAAGACGGCGACGATGCTCGGGTTTCATCGGCAGCGGGTCAACTGATTCTTGGATGTTCGGGCTAAGCCGTCCCGGGCTCAAAAAGATTTTCCTCACACGGCGAAAAAACACACATATTCCTTAAAAACTGGACGCCCCTGGAGCAGTTTATGACGGTAAGAAAGAGCCCGTCGCAGGCCACCAGTTCCACAGCCAGCTGACGTTAGCTCGCTAAGCTAGCTGGCTAGCTAGCTGGCTGTCACTTTTACCCAAGTTTGCTGTCCTGGCGCAGCTAAAATGCTAGTACCGCGAAATAACACTGGAATAACGCACCCCTTAACACGGCCGTCCGTGCTGTTACACGCGTGTCCGAGTGAGCGGAACCTCCCGGGAACAAACGGGGAGCCGTAACGTACGTTTTTATCCCCCAACCTTTAATAAGCAGTGGACTGTGTAGCTCGCTGTCCTAGCTAGCCGCTCCTCAGCCCATTCAACATCTCCGCTTACTTTAAGGGAGATGCGAATCTAGCGTGCGCAGTTTTGGCCGTGCGGCCGGTCCATTTGATTAAAACAAGTTTGGTCGACCACCTTTTTTTAATGTCTGTATTTACATGTGAGTGAGATAGGCCGTTAATGGCTCATTCATCATGCCGTGTACAATAAGCCCTTTAATGACACGGTCCTGTCGGCGTTGGGTGGAAGCGTCACTTGTGTTACGGTCGTGGCTTTTTTTTAATTTATTTTTTTAACGACGACATTCCTTTTATCGTGTTATCAAATATTCCCACGATTAATTTGTGCTAATCGACGTATTCGCTGTTTGTGTTTGACCGAGCTATTGTGCTCCTCTTTCCCTGAGCATCAGCGGGAACGAGACTCGGGTACTGACCCCTCAGAGGATAATCGATTAAAGGGTTTTTTTTGTCATTCATTGTTAAATCTTTAGTGAACGTTTGTCTCACGTCACGTGTCACGTTCTAGAAATGTCCCAACGAGTGCCCCCCCCATGTACGGGTAAGCTGCCTATTGCTTTTCAGTCGCCCATGCATCAAAAATCGCATTTCTTGTTTTGTTTCCATTGCTTGGTGAACCGTAGAATATAGCTGGGAAGGTGTTAACTGTGTGCTGTTCATCAATGCATCCGACGCTTTGCTGTGACGAGCCGTGCTCCTTTCTGTCGATGACGTAATCCTCCACCATCCCCGCCACATCTTCTGGGTCGCAGTCGGTTCCTCTGCAGCCTGCTGAGATCATTCGGGGTTGGTCCAGCCTCCATCTCATCTCTCCCTCCTCGACCCCCTTTCCCATTTGTTTTTACAGTCACAATTGGTTCTGAATAGGATCTCCGATTTGGGGCAGCAATGGAAGGAATTGTGAATGAAATCCAGTGGTTGGATTCAGTTTTCCAAGTGGTACCCACTTATATCCAGTTTAATTTGACAGGTTTGGATCTGACATATCTATTTCATTATTAAAATTAGTATTTGTACTGGAATATGTTTGGGGATCCTCGTCCGAGGCTGAACCATACCCTCCATGGGAATTGGGGCTGTCATGTTGCACTATTCTTTTCTCAACGCCACATTGAACAGTGGATTTTTAGCTCCGCTGAGTTCCGGTTAAAGCGTCAGGCATCTGGGTTTCTTTTATATAGATTTTTGAGACTGGACTGTTGGCACTTCAACACAGCTCAAATGAAGTGCTCAGCAAGTTTCCTTTCATGAATTTTGTTAAACGCAGTATATAACAATTTTTATTTCCATGCGCATTATAAATTCCCAAATGGCGCGCGGGGGCCTTTGCAGTCTCCAAACCCAGAGAAGCTTTGAGTTTAAGGGAGTGGATGGACTCCGCTGGTGAGGATTAAATTGCCCGTGGCAATGGCCCTGGTTTACTGGAGCTGCATACCCGAACCTGCCATCCCCGTGGTGCACATCAGAAGTGTGTGTGTGTGTGTGTGTGTGTGTGTGTGTGTGTGTGTGTGTGTGTAACATAGAGAGGGAACCGATAGTTAAAAGCGAGGAGAGGATGTGGATGGGACAGTCACAGGGGTGACTGGGTCAATGGGGGATAAACTAAACCTGGTGGCAAGGAGGTGTTGGGTGGTATCATCAGATCCCAAAGCAGTTTGTTCAACTTCAAATGTGGTCATGGTCCAGGGGCAAACTGCAATGTCAGCATTGCCTGTACAGAGGCTAAAATGTGAACTTCAAAGTTTTTGCGAGGATCATCTTTTTAAAAAAATTTTTTATCCATCACTAGGTGCAACTGTAGAAGCTATTAAGTGAGGAATATTGTTGAATAATTTAGTTTTCCTGCTAGCACTGTATTAATAGGTGCAAGTTAGGCTGTTTCATGTGTGTGCATTCGGTGAGCCGGGCAAGGGCGGCAAACTCAAGCCCACTTTGATGTCCTGACACCATGCCGCTTTTACAGATCTGTTACCCCGGGTTTTTCTGGTGCCTGTCGGGAAGATGCATAGAAATGAAGGTCTTTGGTTAAACATCATAAACCAGCCGGCTTAGCAAAGTGGTCAAAGGTCGACCATTGTTCTTCTCTGCGTGAAGGACCGAGAGGTGTATACACTGTGGGATGGGCCCCGAGGAGCACCCAACGTTACAACGTAGGACATTATGTAACCTACGGATCAAATCAAAAGTCAGTGTTTATTAAGAGGCAACCATTCTATTTTCTCTCGTTATTGTGCCGGTCCAGGTGGACGTCGTCTTTTTATGCACCGCACGCTTCAGTATCTGCCCCTCTGACTCTCCGACACTTCCTGCATCGTCCCGCCTCTTGGCATGGAGTTTCCTACCCTTTCTACCCCCCTTTCTCACTATCTTACTGGGACACATTACGCCTGTTTAGTCGCAGTGTTGAATAGACACACCCAACCTCTCAGCGTGGCTCAGTAGTGCCGGTGGCTAAGACTGGCTGGGAGCTGCAGACAACACATATCGGACTTCAGAGTTACTGGCGTTTGCATATCTCACTTTAGTAGGCTTGGATCCATTGCTAGAAGAGCTGTGAACCCTCCAAAGTCAATTCACTTTCATATGTCCCGTCATCATGTCGTTTTTTTTTTTTTTTCATGTGTAATCTAACAAGTAGCTTTTTTCCCCACGACCTACACAAGTTTATAGCTCTATTATTATTAGAGTTCACACGTATTTTTTTTAATTGAGTGGTACTTACCTTTTTAGATCGCCCAATAAGATCCTCCTCTTTATTTCAGTGGGACCAGGCTTGCCGTGACCTATGCTGGCTGTTGGTGACAGCCCTGTCAAAGAGCAGCCTGTTCATGTTCGACCAAGAGGACCAGCTGCCTGCTCCTTCTATTATAACCCCTTTGGAAAGCTCGCAGTCCTATTTGCAGTTGGGAAGCGCAGTAAGCGGAGCCATTGATAGAGTTGAGAGTTTGGCCACTCGCGGTTCCCAGCGGCTGCACACCCCGCCGACTGTTACTAAGTTACTGCCGATTTAAAAAAATGTTTTGCCTGCTTATTCCTTGAATCCTGTGCGTCTTGCATTATAAATGAAAAGAAGGAATTACCACCATTTAAGTATTTCTGAAGAATGCGCCAGTGTGCCTAACTCTGTAAAGAATGGAACAAATCCAATGGCCTTAATGCGGCCCACGCCGGGTGCACCTTCAGATCCTCGTCATCGTCCTGAGCTATGGTTCTTTAAGGCTGATCTGGCAGTGCTTAAGTGAACCAGCCAAACAGCCAACCATTCACATAAATATCCAGCCAGAGAGCTTTGAGGAAGGCAGCTAGTTAGCGGCCTGTTGCCGAGGCGGATATGGTCAGGACTCTCCAGCGAAACTTGTCTCCCAAGACCCAAACACAGCTGTGTTTATTCTACGTGAGATACCACCGAAGGCCAGGACGAAGGTGCCGCCACAGATTTAGGCTCCCAAAATGAAAAGCAAGTCGTGCCACTTTAATGTTAATGTGTACGTTTTGATTGGTAGTAAAGTTTGATCCCACGATGTTGGTATCTTTAGCGTTGCATTGAATATGGGTCAACCTTCCTCAAGCAAGCGTTTAGCCCAGATTAGAAAAAACACTGCCTGTGATCCCCGGGACAAACATAAAAGGGGCCATGTGAATTGGGTGTTATTAGATTTATTTTTATACAACACTTAGTCCATAGCTGGACAATGGTACTATTATAGATCACCCTAATTCTTCATGTTTATGTAACTACGCACTGAAGAGACGAAAAATAATTAAACCACTCGTCGTACCTTATTCATGGAGCGTAACATATATATTCTTGAAGGGTTCAATTTATTGATTTCATGTTAGACCTACGTTTTTATCAGATCAGGGTCACCTCTTTTCAGTCTCTCTCTCTCTGTCTCCCTAGTGATGGCGTGTCTGCATCGTGAATAACTAATCAGATGAAGCCGCACATTATGGTAATAGTCTGTTAGTGGGCAGCGATAATGGTTTGATCAGCTGAACCAGCACGTGCGTCCAGCCATAGAGAGGAGCTGGAGATGGAAACCCTAATTCTTATTCTCACACGCCCACACTCATAAAAGTGATGCTCAGAAACCACCAGTTACATTCAAGTTTACAGGATTCAGACAGTAGCAAAGACAATCGGGACATTCGAGGGCAGATTATACCAGCAGAGCCGAGTGACAAAGCTCGCTAGATGGTGGTTTAGTGTGAAAGAATTAGCTAGCCTTGCAGAACATGTTGGATTAAGACATTATTACATTTTAAAGGTTGAAATTGATTATTGCTGCATGTGAGATGGATAGACGCAGAGATGGCCTTTGAATAAATAGAGGAATGGGAGACATTGCGTCTGGACCGGTGGGTGACTGATGGGCATCAATGTGCTGACGGGATGTACCAAGCAGTAGTATGTCTTATCTCTGTTATTTAAATCTAAATACGTAGAAGATCGTAACCGAGACAAAAGACCTGCACGAGGCAAGTCTTTCAGATGCTAACGGCCCCCTTACTGAGGCAGGAGTGGAAATGGGGGGGGGGCGAGAGGAAGAGATCAGTCGTTTCCAGGCCGTTACTGTTCGAGAATAACCCCGGGATGATGATACCTGATCATCCCTCATCTGAAAGGAACTGCTGCCCCACCCCCACGTGTACCCTCCTCAGGTATGCGAGTACAGCTGGCTCCCAACTCTCTGCTCAGGAGT